GTGGCGGCCCTGACTTCTGCTTTTATTTTAGTGGCGTTGATTGTTGGATCACGGGCTGCCAGCAATCTAATATAGCGCTTTTGGGCAGCTGTCAAAACAGTTAGGCGACCGCTGCGGGGTCGGTCAGCTAAATTCCCCATTCCGTGATACCTCTGCAACGTAGCCACGACACAGGATTGGGATATAGCAAGTCTGCGTGCTATTACTCTCGTGGTGTATCCTTCTTCCCTCAAAGTTACTATTCTAGCTCGTAAAACCTCTGATAATCCTCTTGGCATTTTTTCAATCACAACTTTCCGCGAAAAATATCTTGAATCGCTTATAATTGACTAAATCAGATTTCTGAATGAGCGTAAGCTAGGACTGAAAGCCTTTTTATATGAAAAAACAATTGAACGGGGTCATTGTTTTATGTTCTAATTTATTTTTAAATAAAGAATCTAAAAAGAAGAAAAAATCATAATATAATCTACAGTAACAAAAAAGATTTCAGTTTTTCGAAGTGATCGCAAACTTTTTTTGATGTGTGTATGATACAAAACAGTATGGCCCCTCCTCCTGGCAACCCCCATAAGACAAAGAAAAGCAAAGCTGCTTCATCTATGAAAGGATCGTCTATACCAGTGGTGACTATGCCTGGGCCTTCTAAGCCAGTACAGTTGGAGCCAGTGCCTTCTGTGCGTAGGTCTTCCAAAGCGGAAACAACATCTCACTCCGAGCCTGACTTACCTAGGCCGCTTTTACGAGCTACTAATGCAACAGCCAGTTCCAATCCTGACGATGAGGGCTGGACAGAAGTCAAACGTCCGCGTAAGTTATTGAATATTAAGCGTGGCACTGCCACGCCAGGTACAACACAACTTGAAGCATCAGAGAGATCACTATACATCCATGCGTATTACCTCAAGATCGGCACTACGGACGACAGGGTTCGTGCCCATCTCGAGGTAGTCTGTGGGGAGGACGTCTGTACGGTAGAAACCTTAAAGGCTAGAGGCAACTACGCTTCTTTTAAACTAACCGTCCCGTCGCGGTATGCTGAAAAGGTAATGGACCCTAGTAATTGGGCAAAGGACATCGCACTGAAACCTTGGCGACAGTTATTTCGTTCCAAAAACCCCGAAAGCGCAACGCAAAACTAGCAAACTCGGAAATAAAACAAAAAAGTTTGTACTCAATTTGTACTATCAAAACGTAAGGTGGCTCAAATCAAAATTACTCGATTGGAGGACCAACCTTCTGCTTTCCGAAGACCTTTTTCTAGTAGCCGCCACGGAAACGAATCTTGATGGTTCCGTGTCTGATGCCGAATTATGCTGCGGTAATTGGTCGGTACATCGGCGCGACCGCGGCGGAAGCCGCGTGGGCGGCGGCGTTTTACTGGCAGCCCAATCTCCTGTTTACCTAGAGCACTTTCCGCAGTATGAGACGTCGTGTGGTGAAGATCTCTGGGCACGTTTTAAAGTCGATGGACACAGTTTTTATGTTTGTGTTGTTTATATACCACCTAGATCAAATGATGACATATTTATAGAATGGTTTAATAGTGTTGAATTATTTTGCGAAAATCATCCTAACTCTAAACTGCTAATTTTAGGTGATCTGAATTTATATAGTGCAAGTGCGTACATTTCTAACCTTTACAGCTGTTTTTTACCTTTGTGCAATTTGTTAGATTACAACTGTGTGAATAACGTGAATGGTAGAATGCTGGATGTGGTGCTGGCTAGCTCCGAGATGAGGAGTGCGCTAAGTGTACGCTGCGCGAAGCCAGAAGAAGAACTCGTGTATATAGACTTGCACCACCCGCCGCTTGTTGTCCGTGCTCCGTATGACTTTACCACTAGGGCAACCCGAGCTGACCCTTCTAACGTAGAATCGTCAAGGGACTGGAATTTCCCTAGGGCCGACTTTTATTCATTATATTTTCTTATCATTGATTGCGACTGGAGCGGCATTTATGAATGTCGCACAGTAGACGACGTCGTTTCTAAATTTAATGACGCATTGTATAATATTTTCGATCACTGTATTCCCAAAAAAATACGGAAGCCGACGTGTAGTCGTTCATATCCTGTCTACTACACGAAAGCAATAATCCGTGACATTTCCTGTAAAGCTCGTTTGCATAGGGTGTGGAAACAAACTAAAAATGACAATGTTCACAAACAGTTTAAAGTTTTACGCTCATCAATCAAGGATAACATTAAGGCAGCCTATAACAATTATGTTCATAATGTTTCTAGTAACCTCGCAACCAAGCCCTCACTATTTTGGCAATTCGTTAGTACCTTACGCTGCCGAGGAGGAATCGAACCCGCGATCACTTATGGCGATTCTGAGTATCGAGGAGCCGAGGCCGCTGCTGCATTCGCGAAACACTTCGAATCGGTTTTTCTGCCTGTCTTGCCCACTCTCGATCCACAACAGGCCGCTTCAATGGTCTCCTCTTTGGATGGTGAACGGCTGGTCGACATCCGGTCAATCAGTGGAGATGCGGTGCGCCGCGCGGTTAAGCGTCTCAAAGGTAACACATCGGTGGGTCCGGATGGCATACCGGCATTTGTCATCAAAGGGTGCATCGATAGTTTGATTGCCCCGATAATATTTATTTATAACCTTATATTGACTACTGGAGAATACCCAACTATATGGAAAATATCACGCGTAACTCCAATACTTAAAAAAGGATCTAAGCTTAGAATCGAGAACTATCGGCCTATAGCAATATTATCTGCACTGGCTAAGGTATTCGAGATGGTAATGCATGAGTATCTCCTCCCTCAATGCCGGCCATACATCACTAGCTCCCAACACGCTTTTTTGCCCAAAAGATCCGTAGCCACTAATTTGGTCGAGCTGGTCGATGTCATTTCGAGGGCGATGGATGCTCGACATCAGGTAGATACTGTGTATCTTGATTTCCAAAAGGCTTTTGACCGGGTTGACAACGATATATTACTGCAGAAGCTAAGTAGAATGGGATTCGTCCCCCGGCTATTAAAACTGTTTGCCGATTATCTGAAAGACCGGAAACAGTTCGTAAGATATGGACCATACCAGTCAAAACCATACCATACACGTTCTGGCATAAGTCAGGGATCAAATTTGGGACCATTCCTTTTTCTTATTTTTATAAATGACCTTCCAACAGCTGTTAACAAGGCCACGGTTTTATTATTCGCCGACGATGTGAAACTTGTCATGCCCATTAAGTCGACTCAGGACTGTTATGCTTTGCAACAGGACATCGTCGCAGTGAGCAAATGGAGTGTAGACAACAAGCTACTATTCAACAATGGTAAATGTGAAATTATGACCTTTTCGCGCTCCCCGTTGCCTCTCCGCTATGACTATCGATTAGCTGGTCAAGTGATTGTTCGTGTGAGTGAAGTCTGCGATCTCGGCGTTACCTTTGACCCGTCTCTCGCATTCCGGACTCATGCTCGGAATGTCACAAAGTGTGCATATCAAAGACTGGGGTTCGTCTTACGTAACGCTGCTCCACTAACACCTTCAGCAACGAAAGCGCTGTACACGGCTCTGGTTCGAAGTATACTCGAATCGAATGCAGTGGTTTGGGCTCCACATGAAAATAAATATATTCTCATGTTGGAGCAAGTCCAAAAGAAGTTTTTGAGATATTTATATAAAAAAATATTTTACTACTACCCATTCCTGTACCCAACACGCTTTCTACAAGGTCACTTGGGCTATGAGTCCTTGGAATTGCGTAGAAATGTCGCATCACTTAGATTCATTATAAATGTATTAAGAAATAATATTGACAGTGTGAGCCTAGTGGTAAAGATCCTTAGGTTCAGGGTCCCTGATGATTACTGCAACAGGCGACGTGGTGTGCCCCTCCTGGCAATCGAGCCCTCTCGCACTGAACTGCACCGACACTCGCCTATTCCACGTACGACTGCACTCCTCAACTCCATGCTCGCAGCATCGCCGCAGTGTGATGTGTTTGTGACTGGGATAGAGAGACTGATGACGGAATGGAAGAGAGTTTTGGAGAGATGTATGAATGAATTAGTAAGTAGATAATTTTAAGTTTATTTTATTGTTCTATTTCTTGTTGTTTTGTGTATTTGTTTTCTTTTTCTTTTTAAATTGTTATTAACTAAATTGTCGTAACGCCATGGTGCAAACTGTTATGTTACACATTTTGTCTATTAATAAATAAATAAATAAGTTCCATGTGCCTGTAATTTCACCAGTACCCTTACCCTTCAAAACCGAAACACAGTAATGCTGACATTACTGCTTGGCGGCAGAAATAGGTAGGTGGCAGTACTTCCCTGGACGAACTCTTTCAAGATGAGATCTACTGCTACTAATTCTTTATTCTTGGCAAATAAATTTTTGGTACATTTATTATGTCATGTAAAAAGTAATAGAACAATAGGAAATGAAACAATTTTTCCGGATTTAAATCGCGTATATTTGTTTTTTCAAACAAACCAACGTTTCGGGCCCTTTACACAGGTCGCATGGAAACGGTTGATTGACCGCGAATATACGCGATTTAAATCCAGAAAAATAGTTTCATTTCGTATGTGTAACAATTGCGAAAACCTAAAACTCGATAAGTAATTGAACAAGTTTTTATTTGAGAACGGCGGGTTTTTTAAAACAATATAAGTAATTTTTATATACAAATAGCCCCAATAAATGCATTTTTTATTTTTATTTATAAATAAATAACGCACACACTCATAGCCACGCACTAGGAAGACCCTGTATCGCGGGTGCCATGGACACACATAAACAACTTGCACCCAAACTCACATGAGAAATAAATGTAGGCCATACAAATATTTCACCCGGCCCGGGAATCAAACCCGGGACCTCTGCGTGACAGACCAGTATGGTAACCGTTTGGCCATGGAGTCAAAATTTATGATGTTAGTAATATGGTCCTGGAAGGTTGTTAGTATTTTACAAGCAACCCTGTATATGTATATACAATGTAAATAATTACGTTGTCTTACCTCAATATCCTTAGCGTCAGCAACCTCAGGTTCAAAGAACAACCGCCTAGCATTCTCATATTCCCAGTTCTCAGGCGGTGGATACTTGCTTACATCAATGTTTTTGAGCACTTCTTCGATGCAGCGATGTTGCCTAATTAATTCTATGGCTCTTTTGGGACCTATGCCGCGGATAGAGCCGCAGTAGTCACAACCAAGAAGAATGCAGAGGTCCACAAACTGAAAAAATTAAACTTCAGTATAAATAAATACGTATTTTAAATATCATGTGACGGGACGAACAAGTCGTGCCCCTGGTGGTAATTAACACGCCTATCCATAATAGTTGCATTGTCACTCAGAGCTTAAAATTGTAAAGATCTTAGGAACAATGTCACTGCGCCCGTCACCCTGAGACGTAAGTTGACAAGTCCCATGTGCCTGTAGTTTCACTAAAATTTCAAATTTCATGTAACATACATGAATGATGCAAGTGCACATTAAAGAGGTTCTTCATGATCATAGTGTGTGTTTATCCTATTGGGTGTTATACATGGTTTATACTTTTGACTATAATTACAAAACATTTTTCGTGATTTTTTTTTCTGTTTAAATTATTTATTATCATGAATACAAATAGAACACGATCAGAACACTATCTAAAATACAGGTGATTCGTAAAATCATCGCTCTAAAAGGTGGTAACTATGTGCAAAAGGCAGGAGCGAGTGTGCGGGTTATCGGGAGGACGATTGCACGTTTGAACTTACTACCGTATTACCAAATACAGATTTAAGTGTCACATAGGACAACATTAAGAAGCGGTAGAGGTCCTTCTGAAAGAGGTTGAGTAGGGTAGGACTGCCACCTTACGTATTTCTGCCGCCAAGTAGTAATGTCAGAATTACTGTGTTCCGGTTTTGAAGGGTAAGGGTGCTGGTGAAATTACAGGCACATGGGAGTGACGGGCGCAGTGTTAGCGTACCTCAGACCTTTGCGATTTAAAATTTTAATTTAAGCTCGTGAGTGGCACTGCAACCGTTATGGACAGGCGAGTAGCTTACTATCAGGCACACGACTTGTTCGTGCCGTCACTTGATATAATAAAAAAAAACAAAAAGGTAAAGTTATTATGTTTTGTAAAATGTCATGGAACAACAGTTGTTGTTTATGATGTTAATAATTATATTCCTACGAGGTTGTTAATATTTTACGAAATATAACTCTGTATATACAAAATTATATATTTTAAAAGGTGTTCTATAATTATATAAAAATGTAATATTTTATGTATTGATAATATAACATAGCAACAATTTTTTTCCGAATGTGTAACAATCGCGAAAACTTAAGAAGTGAATATTTTATGCATGTTTTAACTTTAGATTTTTTTTTTGATCATTTCTTGAAAACCTGTTAATACTTGTTTTACAATTCGTTTTAGATTGTTGTTTAGCTCAAAAATTTCGATAAATGATTTTATAATTTTAAACATATTTTATTATAACAGTACTCAATCTACAGCCATATTGGAAGTCTTATGTGGAGAAGTTGGCGAAAAACCAAATAGGTTTCTCTCTAAAAAAACATAATACAATTAGTTGCTTTTTATGCATTAGACAAGCAACGTAGAGACAGCTGGAAATGCCCCGAAATGGGAAATGCTAATACGCCTGTTCGCTTAACTTTTCAGGATGATCTCGAACACCAGAATACAGAAAAGGACTCTCCGAACTAATATAACGTCCAAAATGTCACTGAGCGAGCCAAGTCCTCTCAGCGTGTTGATGTTAAGAAAGAGGAGGAAAACCTTGGTTTTAATTTAAATCTGATAGAGGAACTGGATGGCAAAACAGTTATCACAAGTGACATCATGGCGGAACTGAAGTTGTTCTAGGACGAGATGAAAGCTGCTCGGTTAGAAATGTTTCGTGAGACGGTGTTGGGGCTCACTACCACAATTAAAGCACAGAGTACGCGTATAGAACAGCTAGAAAATAAAATTGAAACCCTGGAAAGCAAACTTAATGAGACCCATAAGTGTAGTGTGTCAGATTTAGAAGACACCATTTTACAAGGATGGACATACAGGTAAAAGACCAGGAAATGCTCGTAAATGACGTTGAGATAGCAGGCTTTCCTGAAGTGGGAAATGAGAACTCGGTACACGCCGTTCTTATTATAGAAGCTTGGTGTGCAACTCGTGGATCCAACAGCCGTCTGAACTGGAGATATGTGTGGACACGCGGCGGCAGAGTATACGCGCGCCAAGAGCAAGGGAAAGACCGTCATCATATACAATCTGAGAGAGATTTTAGCAACATTTTTGGGAACACATAAGTTGGCGTCTCTATCTAAAAGGACGATGTAAGCAAGAATTTTTGAGCGTTTACTTATTTTTATTTCTTTAATATCTCGTAGTTATAGTTCATATAAAAATATATGTTTTTGTTATATTTTAAAGCTTTTATTTATTTTTATTTCTAAAATTGCATATTCCCATCATACTCAGTTTGATGTTGAATTTCTAGTTACACTTTTTTGTCATTTGATTGTTACGTACTGCTTCATGTTTTGATGAATAATAAATACATTTAAATATTTAAACATTTATGTAAGCTTTTCCTGTAAATTGATTTTGATATGTTATTCACGTCAAGTCCTAGTTTATGTGTTAATGTGTGTGTATTATGTTTCCAATTACGCTTTGCTTTTTGTTTTTGTTGACTTAATATTACAGTTATTGTGTTGTACTGGAATTATTTTTTCTGTTTGTGTACTTAGAGAGTATTCTGTGTTCCACTTGTGGAAGTCATTTGCATTGAATGGGTCATGGACAGACAATGTCGGGATGTATGTGTGGGCAACTGGTAGCGAGGAATATCAGTTATTACAACAATTACATTTGTATAAATACCAGAGCAAAATATTTATCTATTAAAATGGTTAAAACGAAGAATTTAAAAATTGGTCTCTTTAATACGGGTTCCCTGAATACAAAACACAATGAATTTCTCATATCAGTTGAACGTCATGACCCTGATATTCTCGCAATAAATGAGACTTGACTTAAGAGTGGACAAGAATGCTGTGCTCCTAAGATGCCTGGTTTTCGTTTTCTGCACTCTCCTCGCAAACTTGGTCAACGGCAGGGCGGCGGTGGCGTTGGAGCGGGAGCGCCGCCTCGCGGCGCAGCGCATGCGGGACCGGTGGAAAGAGGGCTTGGCGGATCCCCCCTATGGTGCTCGTACCATAGAGGCGATTCGCCCTGTCCTCGTAGAGTGGGTAAACCGGTCCCACGGGCCACTGTCGTACCACCTTGTGCAGGTGCTGACCGGGCACGGTTGCTTCGGTCACTACCTGCACAAGGTGGCGAGGAGGGAACCGTCCCCGTCGTGCCACGAGTGCGGCGCTGCGGATGACACCGCGCAGCACACCCTAGAGGTGTGTAGCCGGTGGGATGAGCAGCGCCGCACTCTGACGGGGACTATAGGGCAGGACCTCTCGCTGCCGAGCGTGGTTGCCGCCATGCTCGATAGCGAGGAGTCCTGGGAGGCGATGGCCTCCTTTTGCACAGAGGTTATGTCGCAAAAGGAGGCCGCGGAGCGGGTGCGCGAGGACGCGGCGGACGCGCACCCGCTCCGGCGCAGACGTACGGGGAGAAGGCGAAGGCAGTTCGCTGCTCGCCTAGTGAGACCAGCGGGCTCTGGACAGGGACTCCGGAGCCTACATTGCACGGCCTCACTCGTCTGGGGGGCGGGTCGGAGGACAACCGACTCGTCCCTTCGTTGGCGCGGGAGCCCTGGCGCAAGCTAGGGCGGCCGGGCGGCGTCGTGGTGAATGTTCACTGATCCTACGGCGCCGACTCAACCGGCGAGAGGGAAACCCGGGGGGGTTTTAGTGGGGTAGGCCTTCCAGTGTGGAGGGAGAGTCCCCACATAACCCCTGAGTCTCCCTGGGCTCAGGGGTATCCATAAAGATTTCCCCCCCGTCAAAAAAAAAAAAAAAAAAAAAAAAAAAAAAAAAAAAAAAAAAAAAAAGGGCGGCGGTGGCGTGGGTTTCTATATCAGACGTAGCTTAAATATACGTAATTGCGTATGTCCAACAAGTGATCGCATTGAACAAATATGGATCAGGTTGACTCTGAATTCCTTACACATAATTGTTAGAACTGCGTATAGACCTCCATGGTGTAATATTGACGAGTTTCTTGACGTACTTACTGACACTATTACATCTTTCTCGCAGTATAATCAGCTTGTGCTGGTTGGAGATTTTAATGTGAATCTTTTGGATATTAACGACCATAAAACTAGGCAAATAATATTTTTTCTCGACAACATGAACATTAGTAACTATATGGCGATGCCTACACATTTTACTAGCCATAGTTCTTCTCTGATTTGTTCGGACACTCCACCTGCAAGGACTGGTTAATCAGGTCAAGGAGCTCGGTGGTCACGCTCTGGTTTTTGGGGAATTAAAAATAAAAAAGAAGGTTTGCAAACCAAAAACATTTTTTCGTAGGTCCTTGAAAGATATCGACAAGTCCCAATTGTATGAAACGCTTTTAAAATTGGATTGGAATTTCATATTGAATTTAGAGTCTGTAGATGAAGGTGATGTGGTTCAATCTATTTTTGATTACACTTTTTGATATATATGCACCTATGCGACAAGTCACAATTAAAGATAGAAATAAACCTTGGTTGACTAGTAATGTTAAATACATGATAGAATTACGTAACGCGGCATACAGTAAATTCAAAGTTTCAAAGCAAAATAAGATGCAAATAAAAGCAGTATAAGATGTTAAAAAGCCTCGTTACAGTTGCGTTGAGTTGCGAGGAAAAAGCCTATTTTGTCCAAAATATTAACAATACTCAAAAAATTACTTAAACGCGACGTTCTTCCAGATTTCAAGGGGCACTCGGAGTTACCTATTTATTTTGATAATCATGATGCAATTAACGATCATTTTCTAAATATCCCTGGTGACAACTCTGTAAATGGTGAGGTTCTTACTTTTTATGACACACACAGGTTCTGTCGGTCTAATTTTGACTTAACTATTGTTGATGAAGACACGATATCCAAAATTATGCTTGAGATCAATTCTCATACTGTGGGATGTGATGAAATCACTGCTGACATGGTTCTGTTAACTCTACCTCACACAATTCAAATTATTACAGATATTATAAATACCTCCATACGAATATCCAAGTTTCCATCAGCCTGGAAATCTGCTTTGGTATGTCCAATTTCCAAAAAACAATAACCCACAAGATTTAAAGGACTTAAGGCCAATAAGCATTTTGCAATATCTTTCTAAAATATTGGAGAAGGTGGTTAGTTTACAATTATATGTTTACTTGGAGTGTAACAATATACTTCCTAAGTACCAATCTGGTTTTAGAAAGGGACAATGGCACTAATACAGCTCTTCTTGATGTTATAAATGAAGTACTCGTGGCTCAAGATTGTGGTAGAGGTACATTTCTGGTTCTTCTTGACTATTCTAGGGCATTTGACTCAATCAATATCAATTTATAGCTGTCAAAATTAAGTTACTATGGCTTTAAAAGTACGGCCCGGGACTGATTCCAAAGTTATATTTCCGCTCGCACTCAGCAAGTAAAGTTACATAGACCAGAGGGTAGCTTTATGACGTCGACCTGTATGCAGGTGAACAGAGGAGTGCCCCAGGGATCTATTTTGGGTTCTCTCTTATACATTTTATATACTTCCGACATCGAGAGCTGTTTTAGGTATTGCCGGTACCATCTTTATGCTGTTGACCTACAGTTATACCTATCTTTCTTTCCAAAGAATACCGCTGAAGCCATCGCTAAGATCAATGATGACTTAAACCGTATTACTGCATGGTCGGGTAATAACTCTCTTGTATTGAACCCCACTAAGTCCAAATTCATGATTATGGCTTCCAAGAAACAGATTCAGGATATAGAATCACATTTGCTCCAAGTAAAGGTTCAGAATTTGGGTGTCATTATGGACAGTCGACTGCGCTTTGAGCAGCACGTAGCCAAAGTAGTGCAGAACTGTCTTTTTAGGTTAAAGATCATTTATAACAATCGTAGCTTCTTGAGTCTGGACTTACGCATTCACGTACACGAATCTCTTATACTCTCCAAACTTAATTACTGTATCACTGCCTTTGGTCAGTGTCTTTTGGCAAGAACGCAGAGACTACTGCAACGAGTGCAAAATGTATGTGCATGTTTCTGTTTTTCAATACCTCCTCGAACTCAAATGACACCTTTTCTAAATAAGTCTGACATGCTTACGATGGATGGGCGCCGTAAACTGGCTGGATTGTTGTTGTTGTGTTGATGTTGTTCAGTCTCACGTACCTTACTATTTGTATGAGAAACTCACTTGGTCAACCACGGTAAACTCTTGCTTTGGAGCAAGGTCGACAAGGGTGTTTTCGCTTATAACCCCCTGGTATAGTACCGCTGCAATTAGAGGGAGTTTCCGATACTTAGCCACTCGTTGTTGGAACAATATTCCTCCTCCTATCCGTAACAACGTCACAAAAACAACTTTCAAGCAGAAGCTGCAAGAGTATCTTTTAAATATGCAAAAATTGGAAATATGAGTGACTAAGGTGTTTGAGAAAAAAAAAAAATAAATAAATAAATAAATTGAATGAAATTAAATTGGATTGAATTGAGTTAAATTGAATTGGTTAGAATTTGAATTGAATTAAATTGGCTTTGTTTTGGGTTTTTACGAGTGGCGTCCCTGTCCCTAAAGGGTCCTGGCAGAATACCAGTCTCGCGGGCAGCCGCGTCATTTATGCTGAGTCAGCGCCTTTTCATTGCCATGGCTTCCAAGAGAGATACTAGTAGAGTATATTACTGTATTACGTCTAAGTTAATGTCTGTATCATGTGTCTGTGTATGTATTTGTCAAGGTGGTGAATAAAGATTTTTATCTATCTATCTAGTTGCTAACCTCTTTATGTTTAAGTTCCAGCCCCTGCAACACCTTATCAAGATGGATCTCCAGGACAGGCATCTTCCTTGCCTCTGAGAAGGTCAGATGACGTAGAAGCACGTCAGCGCCAAATGTTAAGGCATCCATATCTTCTGTAGCCGTTGCGAACACTTTGCCAGCTTTCACCTAAAGATACAGGAGACAAATTTTAAATATATAAAATAATATATATTTATCTATAATTATTACTATTTGTTAAATATTCTTGTACTAACATAGTTGATAAGTGCCTGTAACTAACAAATGATATGGATTAATTTCTGAAGTAAATGATTTTTGATTTGATTTTTGATTTAAATTGCAATAAGGCTTCCTTCCATCCACTCACATGAACATGCTAAAAATGTATACGAAATTTGATATCACAATGAACACCAGAGATGTAAATGATTAAAATTACTGGCGGAGAGATGCCCTTTCTCGCAAGACGCTCGTTAGTTAATTGGTAGTGTGTTGCCAGCTCAGTCCACACTATCTTCATTTCAGAATTCATATCATTCATATCAGAATTCCCCATAATAATAAAAACCAACGCATTCGTAGACAACTACAAATTACACTCAAACTAACGGGAGAAATAAATATAGGCCGTACATTTATTTCTCCTGGCTTAGGCATCGAACCCGAGACCTCTGCATGGCAGACCAGCATGGTAACTGTTCTGCCACCAGTTCAAAATGTACTTTGTATGCTCCGTTAAAGTCGGCACTTCACATGGCTGTTTGTATTTGCTATTGGGTACAAACATGATTGTGTACACATGATGCCAAATAAGGAATTAAAATATGAATATGAGAATAGTGTGGACAGCATACTTGCGAATTTGCTTATTTGACCCCTTTGATATGCGTCGAGAAACGGACAAGCGCGCAGTAAAGCGTGTTCAGTGTTTACTGTATTTATCGAATAGACAAAGGCAAAAACTTTGTCATACATACTATTTACACATGGTGATTGTTTGCCGAATATATCAAACACACAAATAGTCATGTGAAGTGCCACCATAAAGTGTGACGTCACAGAACACTATTGCTGTTTCTTTTTAACTCATGACATTTGAATCCTTGAATATAATTTACTTTTTTTTGCCAACATGCAATAAGTCTTATATAAGACCTCAGTTCATTTTTTTATATATTTCGGCATGTCAAGCATACCCTTCTAATGTTGGGTTGCCTTGATGTGGAAAACTATTCAGCTCAGTTAGATGAATCCCAAATGTGATTAAGCTTAAATCTTATCTTCTGTGTTGGTACACATAACGCGGTAACCAGTTTGTTAGTATGAGGCTATTCTTATAATATAAAAGTAACGGGACTTACGGGCGCAGTATTTTAGTCGGAAGCGGTCCGACTAGTTTCGACCATAATCGATGGTCTTCTTCAGGGGTTGAGTGCAACGTTCGCGACCGCGACACGTCTAGCACTGCGCGCTGCGGCTCTCTGCGTGCGCGCCGGGTACTTATTTCAATAGCCTCTTGGAATTTGCGGGGCACAAAATACTTCTCCCACGCTAAAACCTTAGCTTTATCAAACCGAATGTAGTGACCAGTACTGGAGCTCAGAAAGTGGTCTGCCACCGCAGATCCATTGACATCTTGGTTCTTCATGGATCGGATATGCTCAGCTAGCCTAGTAGCCACGTTCCGTCTCGTTTCGCCGACGTAACACTTGCCGCAGTTAGAGGGAACCATATAGACACTGGGGACCCCCAGAGGGTCTCTGTCCTTTGGAGAGCGATGCTTTGCACAATTGCTATTGTCGCAGCTGTGTGAGAGGACGGAATATTGTCTTGATGCTGTACCTTCGGCGTAACAAGTTTCCAATCACATCCGTCACCTTCCTGACATAAGGTAAGTATGCTGCCGCTCTCTCTACCGATGCTGGTTGAGTCCTCGTTGAAGCATTGCGTGTGGAAAATTGTGCCCCGCAAAATCCGAGAGGCTATTGAAATAAGTAGGCGACCAAATTTTAAAAGAGACGGAGGTTGGAGCTTGCCACCAACCTGGAAGCCGTGTCTTCATGGCGCTCGATATGCAGCTGCAGATGTTAGTAGTAACGACGTGGTGAGCTCTGTGTGCTGGACTGTTCCCGACAACAATCCTACGGACAGCAGTAGCGAAGAAGAGTTCCAGGACGCGCTGACGCAACGTATCAGCCCCCCGAATTCCCCACTGCGGACTGCGTCATCGACTCGCGCGCAAAGAGCCGCAGCGCGCAGTGTTTGACGTGACGAGGTCGCGAACGTTGCACTCAACACCTGAAGAAGACCATCGATTATGGTCGAAACTAGTCGGACCGCTTCCGACTAAAATACTACGCGAGTAAGTCCCGTTACTTTTATATTATAATGTGTGATAACCGCGTCAGTTTTCATAATAAAAGAGACTATTCTTCTATTTACAAATATTAAGTATTTTTAATTCTCTTTTTGATTGAATACAATTTATATCTATTTTTAATGCTAATAGAGAATTTGATCAAGGAAAACCAGATTTAAGATTTCCATTCATAATGAAAAATTGTTCATAAATATAAGAAGTATCGGATTTTGGAGCTTTGTACCAGAGATGCGATCAATACTCTATATCGGTTTGATATGTGGTACCTAAAGATAGACATACATCTAAAACGTCATTTTGAAATTCTCACCAAAGCAGCACACTGTGCCTCTGCTTCGCATGGGGCATCCACGACTGGTATACCCATCAGCTTCAGCAAATCTTTGGCTTCCTCATTGTGCTGCTTCGTCACTTTGACCAGTCGACGGTTGAACTTGTCTATGGAGGATTGGTCTCCTGTGGAATATGACAGTGTGTGAGAATGCACTATCTAATGCACAATCTATGAATCATTTGTCTATTTACTAGCTTGCCACTTTACAGGGTTGAGTGTGAAATTTGCTTTCACTGTTTCTTATACAGATGGTTCTCTTTCTAAATTAGTTTTATTCTGGTGCCTTCTAGTGTCCTTTTTTCTTATCTTCTTATCTTAGGCCTTTTATGTTTAGCATTATGGATGTGATGTATTTGATATTTATTATTATATATAAATATCAATGGTACAAGATTGAATCACCTCCGTTTTGCCGACGACCTCATCTTGATTACGGACAATCTAGATACATTGGGATTGATGCTACAACAACTTGCACAAGAGAGCGCGGTAGTGGGTCTAGCAATGAACGTTGCAAAAACAAAACTCATGATGAATGGAAACAAGCAATAATAAAAGTAAATGGTAAACCTATTGAATATGTAGAGCAATAAATGTACCTTGGGCAGAACATATCACCTGATAACCAAATGATAAAAGTGGTAGATCAAAGACTCACCAACTCATGGAAAAGATACTGGTCCCTAAAAGAGATTATAAAAAATAGAGATATTCCAACTAGCGCAAAAAAGAAAATATTTGACAGTTGCATTCTTTCATGTTTATCATACGGTTGTCAAACCTGGTCACTAACAAGGAAAAACACAGAAATGTAGAACAATCGTACAGGATGTTAAGAACTACATGAGGAAAATGAAATGATGTTGGGTTGGACATATCATGATGGAGACTGGAAAATGGACCACAGATGTAACAGAGTGGTACCCAAGAGAAGGCAAACGCAGACAGGGAATGCAGAGAAAAAGATGAGAATATGTAATATTTGAATTGACTTGTATCAGCAATAAAGGCTATTATTATTATTATATATTATTATGTGATGTATTTGGCATGCAAGGTATATCCTTCCACAAAAGAATAAACCTGATAGGTAACTAACAGTGCACATATGGGACTGTGCTGATACATGAATCTGTGCTGTTGAAAATAATTTGTTATAAGGCGTTTCTTAATTTAATGTATTAAAAAATTTATATTGCTAATGCACCTGTTTCTGAAACACTTGCGAAATGCACATTGCGTGCGCGCAGTGCATTCGCCTGAATTTGTATGATACCTTGCAGTTATTTTTATTTAATACCTGCTTCAGTAGCCTTTTGCAACTCCTTTTCAGCCTCTTCTCTCCTCTCTGCTCTCTTATTCAGCTGATGAGACTTCATGTCAGGTGGCTTCCCATCAAACACGTAAACTGGCTTAATACCGGCCTCTACCAGACGGATGGTACGGTAGAATGTGCCCATGAGGTGGGAGGTTGTTTCTCCATCAACTGAGGTCAGTTGGTGGCCTGAAATATTTTGAAATTGAATAAAATATATTAAGTTTCATTTTCAACCACAGTATTTAATTTAATTTAATTAATGTTAAAAAGTAAAACATGAATGATTACTGACACTCATATGTCAATAGGACGTGTGACGGGTAAAGAGGATTTCATTTCACTTGTTAATTGCATTGGAGGCATAAAAGTGAGACTTTTTCAAGGCGAGAGTGAATAGGCATTATTTAGGTGTACATGCTAAATCGTTAACCTCAACGTCACTTTCCATCAGGTGAGACGGGAGGTGAAATGCGCATTTTTTTCATAATTAATTAACCACCTCAGTCAACCTTGACCATGGGACCTGTAAAGGGCCCAAAACATCGGTTTGTTTGAAAAAACAAATATGCGCGATTTCAATAGTTTTATTTCCTATAATTAATTTATTTTATTAGTTGCATCATGGTAAAATCTGCACATACTGTGCTCTTATTATGAATCTTGATAATAAATAAAGAGCTTTATTTATCTACATTAACCCTTAATTCACTTCCTGAGTCCCACGGACTCACAACGAAATTTCAAACCGCCCTAGTTTAATTGTTTTAGCAGATGGTTTTCCCCTTACCTCAGTACCTTCATGCAGTGACGCGAGCGACGCGGTGCCGAGAGGACGTGCGCGCGCGCTTCGTATTTGGTGAGTTATTACGTCGAGTGAGTCCCAGGGACTCATACTAGTGAATTGTGTTATATTTTTTTTTATTTATTAAATATTACAATTGTTGATTTTTCACCTATATTTATTGATTATATTTATGCACGCTTTATTTTTTTTTGTTGTAGAATTTTAAAATGGCTCAACAATGTAATTGGATCAATGTCAATGAAGACGGAGCAGATTCCATTCTAGAAGCTTGGCTCCAAGAGGATTTGGATGATAAGTATAATGACAGGGACAGTCAACAAGCTCCTGGCCCGTCAAGCAGTGGCTCACACGTAAATGAAGATTTACAAACTTCAGATATTGAGGATGGTGAGTACCTTCTCAGCGATCACGACACTAACTCAAGCTTCTCTGAATCGTCTTCAAATGAGAGTGACTTACCACTGTCAGAGCTAGTTTCTCACAGGTCACGGAATGATGCACCAGCTCAAGATAATTCATCATATATGAGTGATGATGACCAATCTATACCTGAACAAACAAACCAAAACTATTACCATGGAAAAGATCGAACGAAGTGGTCACGATTACCTCCAACTCGAAACGTTCGTACTGCAGCACATAACATAGTACAAGTTCCTAGAGTTAGACCTCTAGCTGAAGGACCTCTTTCTCCAATTGATGCATTTCAGTTATTGTTCGATCAGAGAATGCTGAATATCATTTTGACTTGGACAAACAAAAAACTTGAGGAATTTCAAACGAAATATCCAAAAGATTCTGCTTTCAGACAGACTAATCCTATCGAATTGAAAGGTTTTCTATCTTTGCTGATTTATTCCGCTATTTTCAAGTCAAATAGAGAAAGCGTTTTATCACTATTTGCAACAGATGGAACTGGACGAGAAATATTCAGAGCATCAATGTCGAAAAACAGATTTTTGGCATTGCTCTTAGCTCTTCGGTTTGATGACGCTTCTGACCGTGATATTCGAAGAGAAGTTGATCCTGCTTGTCTCATTACAGAAATATTACAAATGTTTATAGAAAACAGTCAAAATAATAATTCAATGGGTAGTAATGCTACGGTTGACGAAATGCTCATAGAATTTAGAGGACGATCCAGATTTAAAATGTACATGCCCAATAAGCCTGGAAAGTATGGTTTGAAGATGCAGTGTTTAGTGGATTCTAAGACCTTTTATATTTTTAACATCTACTTATATACCGGCAAAGGTTCTGACGGATTCGGTTTGACTGACGAGGAGAAAAAGAAATCAGTACCAACGCAAGCTACCCTCCGCTTGTGTAAGCCCATTTTCAATACGAACATCAATGTGACTACGGACAACTGGTACTCTTCGATGGAGCTACTAAAAGAGTTGAAGGCAAGAGGCTTGACAACAGTGGGTACACTGAAAAAAAACAAGAGAGTTATACCAAAAGAATTTCTCCCACACAAAGACCGGCCCGTGGAATCTTCTCTATTCGGATTTACGAAAGAATCTACTCTTGTTAGCTATGTTCCAAAGAAAAATCGATCTGTGGTACTGTACTCTTCTATGCACCATGACGACGAAATTGATGTAAATACTGGAAAACCTGCAATAATTTTATATTATAACTCCACCAAGGCAGGTGTTGATGTGGTTGACCAAAAGTGCTCTGTTTACTCGTGTAGTAGACGAACCTCCCGTTGGCCTATGGCTGTGTTTTTTAGAATCATTGACATGGCATGTTCTAATGCTCAAGTTATTTATGAAAGCCAAAGAGGGGTACCAAATATTAGAAGATTAGAATTCCTAAAAGGTATTGCAGAAAAACTAAACGAAAGTAATTTGATGACACGTTTACATAGTACACGTTTGCCACGTCAAGTTCGCTGTTCGATTTCATCTATCTTGCAAAAAGACATTCCTGAAGATATGTGTCATCCTGAAACTGATGTCAAGTTAGCTAGGCATGAGAGGAAGTACTGTTATTTATGCCATTACAAAAAGAGAACAAAGACTGCATACTTATGCGCGAAATGTATAAAGCCAATTTGTTTGGCGTGCTCAAAGAAGGTATGCCGACGGTGCATGTAAACCTATTGCACGTTTTTTTTGTATGGGGCCATAGATTTAAGGTTTTTTATTTTTATGTTGTACCCTTAAAGAGGTTTAAAGGTGTTAAGTTTTTTTTTATTTTTCTAATTATTTGTAAGACTTAAAACAGTTTAAATATTTGATTATTTTTTGAGACTGATATTTGTACTTTTCTATTGTTTAAGAGGATCTCACGAGTTTGTTCCCATTTTGTTATTTTTATTTTATTATTAGCTAAGTACCTAAGAAGATTATAAAACTGAATTGTAACCAAAGTTGTTTTATTTGAAAAAAATCGCGCTTACAAAATATGTGAGTCCCTGGGACTCATAGAAGGTATTTACGTAAGTATATTTCACCTAGTGAATTGAGGGTTAAAGTAACAATAATTTAGCCTGAAATAATAGCATCTAAAGATACACATAAATGTAGATAAAAAGGGAAGTCTTAGCTTGAGCTGTTTATCACAATTTACCATTTTGGGGAACCTTGCTATATGACGCATCCCAAGTAGTTCCAAAAAAATTATCGCTTAAATATACACAACTTAAAAAATAAACATAATATCGTCATGACGGTACCCCGAGTCACATAAAATATTTAATTTTTATTATATTCATTTGAAGTTTAGATAGGATTTTCATTATGCACAGAGACAAGTTTTTGACTAAAAAAGTCTACTTCTTTTGCTTATTGGCGGTGCCGCCAATATCGAGTCTTCCGCTAAGTTATTTTAGAGGCTTCTACAAGTTCTGTAGGACCTATAGAACCCGGCAAACGGTTGTAGCACTTAAGACTTAAGTTTTTGATTAGGTAAATATTACAACTTACCTTCGCTTCGAACCGCTATCAAAAATTGGTACAAGCTCATAGACGCATCAACAGCGATTTTTCGCCCTGAAAAATAACAAAAACATAAGGATACGCATTCATTTAACTGTCGTTAATATACGGAATTACGGTTTACCAAAATAGTTCTTGATCTCCATTTCTTTTACAGCATGCGGAGCCACATCTGCGATTAGCTTCGATAAGTTTAAAATACCCATTTTTTTTCAAGTTTTACTATAAAATTCAAAAAATTAATTCATTCAACCGATTATTTGAAAAGAATGATTTCTATATTACAAATTCTGCCCATAGAAGTGCTATGACAGCAGCCACCCAGCCAGATTATAGGTACGTAACAGACAGTTTCCTTGAGGCGCTGCATGCAATGTTTTTGCGCAATTTGGCGGGAATTTTGACGTTTTTAGTGTTGTAAAACTAAATCGAGAATAAAATTGATCTGAGTTAGCAAAAACACTTTTTTTACATTTTTTTTATCGTGCTTTTGATTATTTTTGGATCAACACTCGCTATGTGTTGCGCCGGCGCAATGTAAAGCCGACACCTTGTTGATGTAATACATTGGTCGTAAAAGATTACGAGGGTGTGTTCGATCGTCGCTTGTTTTGAGTAAATTTAGTGAATTAAAGTTATTTTTACAATCATGGGCAATTACTTTAATAGAAGTATGAAAAAAAATCAGGAATTAATGGTAAGCTTAGTATTAATAGATTATTTATTGCAAAAAATGTGCTCTGTCAAAATATTATTGACTTCTTTTTGTATGGTCGGAGTATTTTTCTATCGGCGAGTTTCGTTATATTATTCGCAGATGGAAAAACAACAACAACTTCAAAATCAAATGCGGGAAAGGCAAGTGGCGATGGCAATTGCTGGCAGTAGAGATGTCTGTTTGTGGTTAACAACATTTTATGTGACTGCCGGAGCAGCAATGTTAAATGGGTAATTAATCTAAATGAGCTTATAAACATTAAAAGTTAGTAACTCAAGGTTTTGAAATTTATTTGCTTAAATAAAGAAGGGGGAAGGAAGGATTTTTAAAGCGATTTTTTTGTGAAGACGCAATAAACCTTAACCCTTTTCTATAGAATTACCTGTGAGCATAACACCTATTTTAAAATGATTATGCAACAATATTAATCAATAAAGTACACAAATACATATCAGTGCCATACGCCGTTTCAAGGTCGCCGTTATAGCGTTATTAAAAGTCTTTAGGTAATGACATCGAGTAACAACTTCGACTTGCTCTAGCATACAAATGTTATACTCGATACATTATTAATTTAGTAGGTGCCTACCAAAGTTAGTTGATTCTTTGTTTCCTAGTTACTTTGATTCTTTGTATTTTTTGTGTTACACAACGGTAAGATAGAGTTAGAGCTTAAACTATAGATATGAAAAATATTATCTGCGTTCGTCAACTTTCCCGTTTGCTAACGAGATATACAAATATACATAGTCAGTGTTACACAAGCAACACAAGTAAACCAAATCTATTTCTTTTTTTATAGTTACAGGAAGACAAAGAAACCGGCTCTTTTGGTGCCCTTATTTCCGCTGACATTTGTGACTCTTTATTATTGGGATTTTGCTTATGGGAATAAAATACATAGAATTCGAAGTAAGTTGACCATCATTATTATCTGTACTTAGCTTCATAGTGGATCATAGTCGCGTTGGGTTAAGTTTTGATAACAGTCTATAACAGTTCTGTCTAATTCCCACGTAGTGTCCTGTTCATCACTAAAAAGTCATAAAATGCCTTTGCCCTTAACAAAGGCTATTTACGTTTTTTTTCTTCAAAAAATATACCCGAGTGTTGTTGACTATTTAAAAAACTGCCACTATAATTATTTCTCCATATTTAGCGATAAACATGGTTAAGTTTGCAACATGATGCTGATATAAAATACTCTGTGAGGCTAAAGTGGCTATTTGCAAGCTGTACAAGGTCATTGTTATCACAGAGTAGTGATGCAGTAGGCAGCTATTTTAAAAACCGTGTTACGTCATTTTTTATTTGCGTATCTTGAGTTACTCTGGCGACATTCGCTTGCCTGCCGAAAGGCGGCAAGCTATCCGGTACTAATAGCGAGTCATCTGACGACCGTAGTTTGCAGTTGAAGTCGACTGAAGCGAATGGGTACCTAAGTCGCCTTCGGCAAGGCGAAGTAGTCTGCCGAAGGCGGCAGACGACTCCGTGTAAATGGCGTATCGACTGCGTCGCCTTCGGCAGGCATACTAAACTGCCGAAGGTCGGCCAACGACCCGATTTAAATGAGCCATTAGTTAAACCAGCTCATTAAACATTACATTAAAACTCATTGTCTAATATATTTCTAACACTCTTGATAGTGTATTTTATTATTATTAATAACAATGGGCAATGTCTCTTAATAGTATTGTTAGAAACATGAGTTTAACGTATTAATTTTATTTTCTACATAACAGTTTTAGTGACTATAATATTATAAAAAAAGTGTTTATGGTATGTCTAGGTCTAGATTTAATGTGGTTCCTAAATTTTTGAAATTTAATCAAATTTTTTGTCAAGAAATAATAAAAAAAACGCATGTCATTGTATCTCAAGATTGCACAAGATTACGTCAAAAACGAAATTCGATATCTTAACATAATAGAGATAACTTGAGCTGAGGAGAGATTGTCCACAACATAATACAATATAATGCAATCGAATTTAAATACTGAGTAGGCGTCATTATTAATAGAAACATCTTTATATTTTAAATTTTATTACTGCAATTTATAAAGCGGAATTTTAAATATTTTCAGAGGAAGCAGAACACATAATGACGAACGAAGTAGAATTACTGGGGTTGCCATTTGGTTTACCATCTCTGACGTCTGTCGACCTTGGCCGTATTGAAGACGAAGATAAGAAAAAAAATAATACACTATCACAATAAACTTTTGAAACAACACATTTGGAGAATGCAGCTTTACTAGTACGTTTTATTTTTATTTTCATTATTGAGTAGGTGGTATCCTCGAGCTCCATAAAGACAATAAAAGGCATAACCTAAGTAAAAATAACTGTTTACAAAATTATAACTTTCCTGCATGTATAAATTCATTATTTAATTTTGATGTTCAAAATGCTTGACAGTGTTACATACCACCAGAGGCATACCACTCAAGCTTTGTCAAAAATTATGAAGTTCAACAATTCCGTTATTAAAAAATACATTACAATTTTGAAAAAATTGAGCGCGTTCTGTATTTCGTGAGCACATCAATGTTTTATGTTTCGAGTGTAATATATGGAAAATTTTATATACTTATTATAAAAATAAATTGTGAAATGGGAGAGGTATACTGTAGTATACACCAAAAACTATAAATATACGTTTAAACAAATGAAGTACATCGTTTATTATAAGGATTATTATAAGGATTATGAAGTATATGTTTATGGAAGGATATTGGATACTACCGTAAGTTTGCGTAATCATACTTATTTAAAGATTGATAAACTTCTAAATAAATAAAAATACGGATTAGTATCAAAAACTATTATAATATAATGGTTTTTTGATACTAATCCGTTTTATTATCTATTAGATATTATCTATTTTGATCTAAATCTAGATACTGATAGTAACTAACTATGAAGAACGTAAAGTGGTCCACCGAACCTGACGTCAGAAAAGCAAAGCGCAAAGGTAGAAAATATGTCAATAAAGGTACGGAATAATAGAAAATAGGTAGTAAATAATGAGGACAGTTTGATTTGTATAACTCGTTTGGTCCAGCCATCCTGACGGACACCTATAAACTATATATTCTTACACACAAGTGGAATCAGTAGACGATGATATGACGCTCTAAAACGTACTACAATACCAGTTACTCTCATAGAGGCTCCACTTATCTAATATAGAATATAGTCGAGAGCACTCAAGTATCCGGTACAAACGCTAAATTTGAATATGAATGATGAGGACTAAAGTTTTCGCGAAATAAACCGGTAGAGCATTCTGTTTCGATTCTTACGCCATCTAGCAACAAAGCCAGGCTGCAAAATTGATTATTGTCGGTTGTTATTATGTATTATAAAAATTGAGTTTTTTTTTATACATCTAAAAGTGACGCGTAAACTTCATTAAGCTCACACACACTTGAGATAAGATTTTTTCAACCGCGTCATGATTCCAAGAGATAGCATTTTGTTTTCGTGCCAAAAATATGTTTTGTTTTGTTCTTTTCTTCCAAAATGAACAGGCTAGGGTCAATGAACATACTGCCTTGTCTTCAGCAAGTGCCAAAAATCCAGGATGGAAAAAAAACAAAAAATCTATGGGAATTCTTAATATTTTTTAATTTTTTGGCTTGTCGCTTTAGCGTTTGAATCGAGGACAAAAGACTTTTTATTACGACTTTCAGCTTGGATACAAATCCTTTGAGCCAGGTCTTCATTTAGTTTTCGGGATTCTCATTATATATTTTCTATTGTATTTTTAATGTACGTACTTGTAGAATGGCAAAAAGAACTGGATTTTCAAATAGTCTTTTATGCGCGGCAGTCACTATTCATGTTTTCACTTTCACTTAAATCACTTAATTCGCTTGCTATTTATTATATTTCTTCTTGTATGCTTCCATACCATTTGCCTAATAGATCTTGATCCTTCTTCCAGAAACTTTTTCATAATGTTGTATATAATAATAATAAATTGAAAATTATATTAATCTATTGCGTCCTTTCACTTCAAATTCCCGCCATTTTTCTTTGAAGACATTTTTACATAACTATTTTTAGTGCTGTGACATTCATACAACTAAATCGAGAACTTATGTTATGGCAAATTTATAAAAGTTCAAGATTCAGAAATTTATATTTATGTAATACCGTTATCTAAAAAATATAAATAAATTTATTTTGAGATAAATTTTATAAAATTTATTGACTACATAAAAATAAAACACGTTATTAGAACGTAAACAGGCTATTGACATAACGGCCAGCTGCTTATGCTTATTATTAATAACGTAACTAGTTCAGTTTCTTTGTTGTCGTGTTCGATCGTTTCTTGTTTAGTGTAAATTCGTAAATTAAAATTATATTGGCCAGCATGGGCAACTACTTTACAATAAATATGGAAGAAAACTTCAAGAAAAACCAGGAATTTATTCAAACTATAAATAAAATAAAGGTAGGTAAGCTAAGCTAATTCACTGATAAATAATAAAAATTTACTTTCGAATGTACGAAGCTGTTGTATCAACGAGCTTGGTTTTATTACTTGCAGATGGAAAGACAAATTCAACTTCAATATCAAATGCAGGAAAGACAAGTGGCGATGCAAATCGCTAAAAATAGAGACACATGTTTATGGCTTACTACATTTTCCATTGCCACCGCAACTGCACTGTTCACTGGGTAATAAATCCACCCAAATAATCTTACAAACGTCGTATAAAATGACTAAAAACAGTTTTGAATAAAAAAATTGCTCACAAAACAAAATTCTCTATAGTTTATGTGAGAAGTAATACTCTGCCGTCCACTAACTAAAATATCCGTTTCAAATAGAAAAAGATGGACCACAAAATTCTCTTTCACAAACAGTTAAAATTAGTTAACGTGTTGAACTTATCGGAACTTAACGATGAATAGCTAAACTATCATCATCAAACAATTTCAATATTCTAAAACAGGATTATGGTTTTTTATGACACATCAAATATTTTGTCACTTTTTAGTTAGCAGTAGGCAGTACTACTGTATGAAATAATTTACTTTAATTTTAAAATATACTGTTTACAATATTATGTACTGTTTGATCAGTTAAACTGGTCAAAAAATGTACCCATGTTACTAAAATAGCAACACCTACTAACACTAACAAGAGAAAAAAGCTTTTAATGGATATCTTAGTGTTACTTCATTTTACTTGCATTAAAAATAGACTGGACCTCATGACATTTGTGCATATAAAATTGTTTTTTTAAAGTTTCAGAAGAACAAAGAGACAGTATTTGTTGATGCCATTAGTTCCACTAACGTTTGTGACCCTTTATTTTTGGGATCTTGCATATGGAAACAAAATGCATCGAATTAGAAGTAAGTTGGCCTATTTGTAGCTTATAAATCTCACTAAAAGCTTATGTTGAGAGATGATGACACTCAAAATGTTATATTTGCGTAGCAGCGAAGTAGCTATGAATCTATTACCAGCTCCATCAATATTTGAAGAGTTTGAAACCAAGAACTACTGAGATAACTGCAATTAGTACACTAGCAATTATATTGACACATGGCTTGTGTACTAGCTAACAAATACATAAGTATACGAGCAAATAGCGAAAAAGTTGCCTGGCTTCCAACTTTCTCACATATCACTTACAGTCTGCTGGTAAATAATAATGAACATGATTACTCTGGGCAGGTTTACGAGTAGTATACTATAATAATAGTAACAATAATGCACACACTCAACATAGACCCCCACTAGGGAAACTCCGTGTCGCGGATGCCATGGACACACACATAAATAAGCACAAATTACACCCAAACTCACGAGAGAAATAAATGTAGACCATACAAATATTTCTCCCGGCCCGGGATCGAACCTGGCACCTCTGTGTGGCAGTCCGGCATGGTAACTGTTCGACCATGGAGGTAGGTGAAAATGAAAAATTAAATTGAAAATGAAAATCCTGTTTTTTAACTTGCTAATTGTAATCAATCTTTAATGCAATATATTATTATAATATTTTTAATATTTTTTACTGTCATTATTTGTTGAAAATATGTTTTGAAAACAATATTGCCCATTGTGTGAAGGTTGCAATGGAAATGTTTTGTTCAATCTCACTAAAAGGATTTCATTGAACTCTGGACAAGGGCTGGATCACATTGGGTACTTCATTTATTTACTTTCATAATGATGAATATGTTTACTTGACCACTAATCAATTTGTAGGCAAAGTTAATTATTGTTAATTTTTCTCTTAAAATTTGGCTGTTATCTATGAACACATAAATAAAGGCCATTACATTGTCTCTTTAGGTAATGACTTCATCTTGTTGACACTTCTCTAAATAAGTAGGGTAGTGTGTTGAAGTATTAAGGATAGTTACAATTCGGACTTGTGACTTAGATATCACTCATTTTTGTGGCAGCAACAATAACAATTTGTTTTATACATTTTAAGACTGATTATTCACTCAAAGCTCAAACTCAAAGATTATCATCATCAGACTCTTTACAGATTTCTCACCACTTTATAACTTTTCATGGTTATAACTAATGTTGTTGTTGTAATGTATTTTTAAATGTTGTAACTACTATCAACAATTTGGTTGTTTTTTTTGACACCCATAATGCAGTAGTTCTACTGCTTGACCACTGTCGACAGTAACAAGGCTCTCTCTCATGTGTGGATCAGACTATTGCAAATATATAAAAATATACAAAATGCAAATATATACAAAAGCGAAAATCCTGTTTTTTATCTTTCGGTTTTTTTTTTAATATTTTTAGTGGAGGCAGAACACATTATGACTCACGAAGCTGACATGCTAGAGTGGCCATGCGGCTTACCATCTCCATCGTCCATTGACCTTGGCCGTTTAGAAGATGAAGAGAAGAAGAAAATTCACCCACCAATGCTTTAAGTTTAAAAAATGTCATATGAGGATTGTGCCTTCACTAGCCTATTGTATAAAATGCTGAGCAATAAGTGGAGAAATATTTATAAATGGCTAGATCCTTGTTAATATTTTAGGATTCATGGCTTGCGTATGGCGCATAGAACAATAATATTATATGCCACAAAAAGTCATTTTATATAATGGCGAGTGATTAGTAAAGTTAGATGATTGAATTATTTCATTCCAATATTGGAATATCTGTGTGTTTCAAAATAAAATTATTCAGATTTTTCCAATTCCAAAAAAAAATTAAATCATTCCAGTTGTCTTTTTAAATCTAGTATGTACGGACAACGACACATCAGACTATACGTTTTTGTTCGAAAATCGCCTCCAGTGCAACAGAACAAGATACGTCAATGTATAGATTGATGTGCTGGCGTGTGTACATTTGTTACTTCGTAATACATTTGTGTCCTTCATTGTTGGTAGGTCAATAGTGTCGTTCGTAAATGTGAAAATTTTAGAGTAATCATTGTTAAATTGCGGTATTTATAAATTTAGTTACAAAATTTATAGTGACATTCAATCAAACATTTTACAACGCTTAAACGTTTAATATAATACATAGAAAATAAGTTTTGCCTGAAATGTAGTATTTCATTCAAATTTTAACGCGTATGTACCTGCTAGTATATAATTAATGCACATTGATGTGATATTTTAGGCAGCCGACAAGACGCCACTGATTAAAAATATCTTTTTTTAATGAAGTGATATTTAATTAAGTTTGTAGGAAATTCACTTTTTTTACTGACTGAATTTTATGTTATCAGAATAAAATTATTATTTATTTTTGATACCTCTTTGTTTGTTGTGTAATGATAATAATATTATAAGTTATTTTTCAATAAAGAAGGTTTAAGTAGCGTGATTTGAATAGAATAAATGTTATAATAAAAAGATGGTGTTCACTAGTAGCATTCATATTAAATAAAGTATTACTTGACAAATAATTGTTTTATGTGTATAAATTTAATTGTACCTTAATATATTACAATAAATGACCTAAACAATTTTTTTTGTTTTATTGAACAATATTGAACTAAAGGCTAAAAATTTCAATCCATTATATAAATGGCAGAAAAGTGACTTTATTATTATAATTTTTTTTAGTATTGGATTAAAAAGATATAAAAAATTAAGAAACTCAAAACGACAAAAGAAGTTTCTTTTGTCGTTTTGAGTTGCCATTTTGTTTTTCGATCAGTCTTACGTCACTTTTTATTGGATTTTAAGTTTATCGATTTATCGATTACACACATGAGTTTATTACTAGAGTTGAAAATTGGTTGCCATAGCAACGGAGTCTTGTTTAGGCGCTGTAAACAATTGAAATTCGACTGGCAGTCTTCAAATCTGTCAACATTTCGCAATAATCTGATGAAAACAGTTTAAATTATGAAATAAGTTACAAATAATGGAATTTGTGATATATTCTTGCTGTTTTTTAAGTAAGTAACGTATATTTCTATTTATCTTATAACTTTAATGGAGGTACAGCCAAAGTACGCTACTCGATTACCTGTTTAATTCTTGTGACATACATAAGGATTCCTTGAATTATATTGATTTTTCCGGTTGCTTAGTGTGTTGTTTGAAATCAATGTAACTTAAAAACGATGGTCGTCAAGTTTATCGCACGAAAGTGAATAAATAATATATTTATTTACAAATTTACATAAGATCAATATGGCGTTAAGGATTTTACGCGTAACACTAGTGCGTGGCCTAAAAATTACATTTGTATATGAAAAGTACATTTAAATAATACTTTTTAGTATTTTTTAATAGTGAGAAAATAAGTAAATCAAATAACATCTATTGTTCCATATTACGAATCTTTAAAAAAAATTACTGTTATAACAAAAAGGACATGTTGTAGAAGTGTGATTGGCAATTGTTAATTACTTGCTGTGTGAAATGAATCCGAGTCAGCAGAATGCCAGAAAAGATGATCAGAGAAAGAAGGAGCTCCAGAAACCACCGGCACAGAAAAAAAGCCCAGAGAAGAATATGTCGGAGATTGATGAGCATATTCTCAAAAGGTATTTTTTACGTTTGAACTCAAAATTCAAATAATATTTATTTCATAGGGGAGCGAACTACACTAGAAATCGTCATATTGATTAAACTCTATCTATCTATACTCATTCGTAAGGCAAATTCCTCCAAGAAGAATGAGTAAGAAAGTCTAAGTTAATAAACATTTACGTACATATTTATCATTAAAAAAAATAAAAAGACTTTATTCGTCAACACAAAACATATTTACATTATTAACTTCAAATATCATCGAGACAATCTGCAAGTGATAAAAACGGGTCGCTAGCATGGATTTTTGTCGTCTCTTGCGTGTAAAGTTTTTGTTTCGTTATAGCATAGTGTCCCTAAGTTTCAATAGAGGCTGAAGTGTCCTAGGGGCCTCGGAAGCAATTAGGGGGCGTTGATGCTGTCCAGGGGGTGCCATCGCATTTGCAAAAAAAAACCTGAATTTTCTATTTAACTGCCACCTTGGCCGAACGGTTCCCAATGTTACCATGTTGGACTGCCACGCAGAGGTCCCAGGTTCGACTCCCGGGCCGGGAGAAATATTTGTATAACCTATATTTATTTATCTCGTGAGTTTGGGTGTAATTTGTGGTTGTGTGTATCCTTGGCACACGCGATACAGGGTTTCCCTGGAGCGGGGCTATGAGTGTGTGCGTTATTATTATTATATTAACTACGCTACATACCTGTACATGGAATTCTTTTCCTTGTAATTTTTGTGTTAAATTAATAACGTGTTTTCACTTGCTTTTTGTGGTGGTGGGCGTTGAGATTTTTTTATCTTATCAAGTGAGCGGAGAGCCAAAAAATTTGGGAACCTATGCGCTATAGTTTTAAATTTCTGTTAATGGAAAATTAATATCAACTGCAATGTTAATATAGAAGCGTATATGTATATTGCCTCTTACATTTATTTGTGAAGACGACTGTTGAGAATAGCTGTTTGTTTTTATTCTTCGTAATGTAATATTATGTTTACAACTATTTTAAAGCGACTTAAAAAAAAGGTAGAGGTTTAGTCAATTTGACTGTATTTTTTTTGTATGTATGTTACGCGATTACTCCGGCATTTGTAAACCGGTTTTGAAGTTTCTCTTGTTGTTAAAAAGAGGGTACCTCAGTATTGGTTTCACTTAAATTTGAAGGAAATATTCCACCTCTCAGGGTGGCAAACTAGGGGATGAATCCGTTTCGGGTAACCGATTTCAATAAAACTTGGAAAACTTTGAAAACTTGTTTGAGGTCGCTTTTTTATAAAAAAGTTATTCATAAAAAAAATTACTATTCTTAACATAAACTATATTCTCATGAATGCATTGTGACACTGGTGTACGAATGTTTTGATTTCTTTAAGCTTACCTTTTAAAACCGAAACGCGGTAATGCTCACAGTAATGCCGCCAAGGCAGAAATAGGTAAGGTGGCAGTACTTCTCTGGACGAACTCATTCACAAGGATGGAGCTCTATTGTTACTAAATTATTATTATTTATTATTATTATTAGTAGTAGTGCAATTGCAAGTCAAGAAACTAATATTTTTTTGATATTAATTCCTAGTGTGCACATAATATGCTCAAGGTTTTTCTACAATGCCGCCATTCGCCGTCATCTTAAGTCCCATTTCTATGGAGAGAGTTTCTCGTCTCGAAGATGCGATTATCGAAAGAATATAAAGAAACTTTCCTCGTCTAAACATTCGCGATTATCGTCCTTCCACGTGAGCTTTAATCGCCTCGCCTTTGCATGTTGAACGTCTCCGTGTAAACAGAACTTGAAAGCAAAAATCGTATTTCGAGTTTTTGTGCCAGCCGTTTCTGCCATGCGTGCAGTGCGCGAGGGTGTTTTGATTATCACTGCTTTTCTAAGACAAGAATTAATGGAACGAGAGCGAAAAAAATTTTTCAAATAATGGGGAGTGAGTGCCTCTGTGGTCGAATATAGCTTGGGCAATATAGTATTTGGAGAGCTCTCGTAACGAATATTGCACTCCTTTCTAAATCCAAGATGGCGGGCACGACTTTTCAAATAATGGCAATTTGGGTATCGTTTTTGAGGTATTTGGGGGTGCTCATTACGAATATAGCATTTATTTATTTCTAAATTCAAGGGCGGACACGATTTTTCAAGTAAATGCACTTTTCAATACACACTCCTCACTCACTTCCCACTCACTCCCCATTAACTCCCCACTAATTCCCCACTAACTCGCTCACCTCACTCACTCAAGCACACACACACGCACGCACGCACGCACGCACGCACGCACGCACTCACCACTCACTCACGCACTCACTCGCCCTATAAATTTATCATAATTGTCAGTTTTTGTTTGTGTCAGTAGTAATAAATTTTTTACAAAAATTATAAACACAATTATATTTCTATACAGTGCAAAATGACCTTAATATTATCAGCAGTTTCAAATTTGAATGATTTTTGCGTCATTCTGATATATTCATAGCCAATTAGTCAATACCGCAGTAATCACTGAACTCGAAAGGCAATTCTCGCACTCAAAACGGTTCGAACCGATTTGTACGATAATCGTATGAACTTGAAAAAATGTCATACGAGATCGTGTTTAATCAAGTCGAAAACTCGTAAGCAAGAATCTAGTTACTACATATTTCTCTGTGTGAACAGTCGAGGAGGCGATTTAAGTTGCTTGCGAATCCCGTCTGACATAATCGTAAGCGAGATTTTAGTTCTTGCCTGAATGTAAACATTACGATACGATAATCTTGTGGCGATTATTGCTTACTATAATCGTGTACGAGTTTTCGTCACGAAGCGTGCGAGATGGACATGTTTCTAATATAGCAATCATTTACAGAACTGTTGTACTGCACTTACATGAAATGTTAACGGAACTTTGTTTTTAATTGCCTGATTTTTAGATTTGATGTGAAGAAACGGCTTGGCAAAGGCGCATATGGTATAGTTTGGAAAGCTGTCGATAAAAAGACAAAAGACGTTGTCGCTATCAAAAAAATCTTCGACGCATTTCGTAACCAGACTGATGCGCAACGCACGTTTCGTGAGATCATATTCCTGCAGTCTTTTAGGAACCATCCTAACATTGTGAAGCTACATAGCATTCATAGGTAAGTTAACAGTTTCATTGCCAATTACGCATAATTATGCGATTAACATCGTGAGTTACATGGATGGAATCGATCGAAAAATTTGCAACTAATGCTGACTCTATTTTGTTGTGTAATTGCCAATTACCAATAGGACCTTTCCGTAGAGGTCGTAGAACCATCGTATATATTCAGGAGGAACAGTGTGCCTTCCAAGCGCGGCGGATCATTTCTAATTATTTTTGAAGTTGCATATCGATACTTCATGGAATAAAGGGCGTAAATGCCAAACTACAAATTTTACGTGACGAGGGAGAAAAAAAACAATTTATAAATGTTCATATTCTTTTTATTTTTACAATTTTGTTACATGAAAATATCATTTTAGGCGATAAGGGCGCCTTCAAATTAGACGCTTATGTAAGCACTGGAGTGGCACCACTGTATTGCTGTAGCCGCGCCACTACTACTTTTCGTACAATATTTAGAAGCGCAGTTGCGGTGACACTGTCGTGATACTCGCGCACCACTTTTCCAATCGTAATTATTAAACTAAAAATTAACAGCTTTTTGTCAAACTAAATATTAACAGGCATCTAATTTGAAGGTGAAATGCGGTGAGAGTGTGTGCCTGAAACTGTTAACAGAAACATTAAAGTTTTCGACTGAAAGATTTCAGAATCTGGAATTGACAAATATAGACTGGATATACTTTCCTTTGAAATTCTGGTATGATTAAAAATAAAAGGAAAAAACTGAATAAAAGAATTATATTTTTTTCTTACAATTACAAAAGTTTTCTACTAAATACGCTACCGTAGTAAAATGATTACTACTACTACTACTAAAATACAACACAATAATTCGGCCATTTTATCTCACTCTATGTGTATTACTTCCTGTAATTTAGGTTACTCTGGTCATCACTAATTATGTACCTACTACTTTTCAGAGCTCTAAATAATAGAGACATCTACCTCGGTTTCGAATATATGGAAACAGACTTGCACAACGTTATAAAGCGTGGAAATATCCTGAAAGATATACATAAGCGGTACATTATGTACCAAATGCTAAAAGCTACAAAATATATACACTCGGGAAACGTTATACATAGGGATCAGAAACCTAGTAATGTACTAATTGATAGTGCTTGTAGGTAAGTGGTTTCTGTGGCTTTATGTATATTTACAGTCCTTAGAAAATATATCATCTATTGGCAAATGTTAATACACCTAATCGCGAAAGCAATTAATTCGCTTACCACTACACTTTAAAAAAAAATTAGAAGAATAGCAAACAAAGAACCAGTGATCATAAAATGTTTGTATTAATGGGTTAGATTCCCGGGCCGGGAGAAATATATGTATGGCCTACATTTATTTCTATCGTGAGTTTGGGTGTAATTTCTGGTTGTCTGTGTGTGTCCATGGCACGCGCGATACACAGGGTTTCACGCACACACCCCTAGTGCGGGATAGCTCCGGAGATAGCTCCGCACTAGGGGTGTGTGCGTCATTATTTTTATTTTTTTCTAAAAAAATACCGTTTAATGTGAGTAACCTCTGTTACTTTAAGTTTTTTTATATTGCAAGTTTTTACAGTATAAATAGAATCTTTTCATTTGAGATTAAGCGAGTACTACATGAAACATCTAAAATCTCTTTTTGTCTAATGCTAAAAAAAAAGTATAGTCCGATAAATCAATCCACAAACTAAATTTTCACTGTTGCCAAACACACATAATTACGTATATAATATATGTATAATTTATACTGTTTACCAACACGTCTTCCTAAAGGCGTTTAGTTGTCCAAAAGTAGGTAATGGGCCTAAAACATATTATGAATTAAGAATTTCCAGCTTAAATCAATCGACTTTTAAATTAGGTGATAAAATTATTTAACACTGTTTTTAAATAAAAATTTCGTCAAATGATTTTGAATAGGGTAAAGCTAGCAGACTTTGGCCTTGCACGCTCCGTGTCCAGTATCTACTCAGGAGGTGAAGAAGGGGCAGATCCATGTTTAACTGACTATGTGGCTACACGCTGGTACAGGGCACCTGAGATACTCATCGCTAGTAAGAAGTAAGTGGAATATTTTTGCAGAATTTAGCTCATTGTATTTGTGTCAAATTTTTACTAGGTACGTTTGGTGCTGGTGGTTTTCACTTCATCGGGTTTGTTTATGACTGAGCTTGCAATTCCTTTTCCTGATAAGAAATCCCATTCCTGACGCAAAGATAGTGACATTACGTTACGTTTGAACTAAAAAAGTTGTGTTCGCTTTTATTTTTCTCAACTATCCACGCCTTCGTTCGGATTTAAGCTGTGAACCGCAAATCGTGGTGACGTTATGGCCGCAAGTTGTAGTAGCAAGTAATTGTGTAAAATGTGAAATAGTGTGAACATCGAACTTGGAACTTTTTTTATATAATATCAAGTGACGGGACGAACAAGGCGTGCGTCTGATAGTAAGCTACGCGCCGCTCCGTAACAGTTACAGAGCCACTCAGAGCTTTAAATCGCATAGATCTGAGGGCACTGCTATTGTGCCCGTCACCCTATAGATGTAGACGATAAGTTGACAAGTCCCATGTGCCTGTAATTTCACCAGCTCTCTTACCCTTCAAAACCGAAACGCGGTAATGCTCACATTACTGCTTGGCGGAAAAAACAGATAAGGTGGCAGTACTTCCTTGGACGAACTCTTTCACAAGGAACTCTACTGCTATTAAAACTAAAGCTAGCTATCGAAGTTTAAATAAAAAATGTACTATGTAGCGTCATCACCTGGCTTGAAGGAAAAGTAGCAGTCCCTTGAGACAAGCAACATAGATAGCTAAGTCTGTGACGGTGTGACCTACTTGCATCATCATCACACCTTTTTATCGCCTTTCTCCGGTTCCTGGCCACTCGTATTTAAATTCAAATTTTGAATTGTTCCATCCTTGTGCCTCACATTCTGATTTTGTTTCGTTCCATCGTCACTCTCTGCTTGACCGCGACAGCGGACGTAGCTGTTTAAATTCTATCGCGTCTAATTTTGATTCTTTTACTAAGTTATAATCATTATAGTATAATCTAAATCATGTCTCAATTCTAATAAGTGTATAACAGTCTACAGCCTTATCATGTACCTATGGATACGTATCTGTAATTCAGTATAACTCAGCCCTTTTAGGGGTAAGTGTCTACTTAATAACTCTTAGAATCCATCAAGTTAGGGAGTGTTTTATATTAATGTATCTGTTTTTCTATGTATACCTTACTCCCTACTTCTTTGTTATCATTCCTTCTTAACCCGACTTCAAATAAATTTGTGGACCGGAAATTTTCAGTCTTACTGCCGTGAACCTGGTCACGGCCCCTTTGGGTTACAACTCTTTCAAGTCTATATGTTTATTCACGAAATTCAGCAAAATTAAAACATTACATTTGTTAACAGTTACACCAAGGGAATCGACATGTGGTCATTGGGTTGCATTCTTGGAGAAATGCTCACAGGCAAACCATTGTTTCCCGGCACATCAACTGTTAACCAAGTGGAGAGGATCATGTGTGCCCTACCAAAACCTTCGCCTGAAGGTAATTTAGATTAATTTTCGATGGTTTTTTTACTGGACTTGGTAAAGCGGCAACATACCACGAATTACTTATAATAAATTGGTTCTTTGGTATTAAAACCGGTAATTAATGGGAAAACTAAAATGTGACCATTTGTTCGAATCTTGATTTCGTTTCCCTAGAAAGTTTTGAGTTTGAAACCAGATAATTAGCGTTATCATCTCCAAATTTTATAAACCAGATATAGCTGCAGTGTGCAGCGGTTATGGTTCCTCACTGATCCGAGAACAAGCAAACACAGGAGGGAGTGGAGGGGCAACTCTAACGTCTCTTCTGTCTTGCGCTCCAAGAGATGCTGCTGACTTGGTACAAAGACTGTTAGTGTTCAATCCTGCTAAGAGACTGTCTGCTGAAATAGCTTTGGATCATGAATATGTAGGAAAGTAAGTGTTGTCAATGTTTTTATTGACATTGATATAAGTTGTTAGGTCTTCATTTTGTAGGTGTACCAAATTTATGCACCTTTGGACGAAGATCATGCCCACAAATTTAGTGATAACTGTTATTCACTATTGCACTACTGCTAGCTGCAACTGCTGAATGGTAAAAGTTTGAAACATTCTCTCTCTGGCAACGTGTTATCTGCATTTGAAACGAAGGTATATATTATATCATCATTATCATCATCAACCCATTTGTGTTTATCACTCTCGGGCGAGGGTTTAGGCCATAGTCCGCCACGCTGGCCCAATGCGCGCTGAGAACTTCGCACGTTTTCAGAGGATTGTAAACATCAATGTGCAGGTTTCTTCACTATGTTTTCTTTTACCGAAAAGTTCATGGGATATCGAGTTCTTAGGTTTTCGCTATTGATACACATAGGGAATGAAACTATTTTTCCGGATTTAAATCGCGTATATTTGTTTTTTTAAACAAACCGACGTTTCGGGCCCTTTACAGGTCTTAACTTAACTGGTTGAAGACTGTACCACCTCAGTCAACCGTGACCATGGGACCTGTATAGGGCCCGAAACGTCGGTTTGTTTGAAAAAACAAATATACGCGATTTAAATCCGGAAAAATAGTTTCAATTCTCATCGGAAATTTTAAATTAGATTTCGCACATAAATTCCGAGAAACTCGGTGGTGTGAGCCCGAATTCGAACCCACGACCTCTGCTTGAGAGACGGGTAGGTCAAACATTAGTCTCCAACAGGGTTTTTTGACATATTTACCTCATTTTTTACATTCAATGTAAGTGTACAAGTGACCTCCATCTCACCTGACGGAAAGTGACGATGTGGTCGCCGATGGAGCATGCACACCTAAATAATGTCTATTCACTCTCGCCTTGAAAAGGTCCAAGTTATAACGTTCAGGGAACAAGTCTGCAGGCAGGGAATTCCACTCCATAGCCGTTCGCCATATAAATGTGGAAGCGTAACGCTTCGTGCGAATCTTTGGAATATCCACAACATAGGGGTGGAATCCAAGCCTACTCCTAGTCCCTGGATGATGGAAAGGGGAAGGCGGAATTAAATCGAGTAATTCCATCGCACCTTTCCGTGATCTCATTATTAAATTCTCATACTATCCTGCAGATTTCACCAGGAACGCGATGAGCCAGCTTTACCGTCAGATGTGTTACTACCATTAAGAGATGACAAGCAAATGTCTGTAGATGACTACAGAAACAAACTTTATAGTATCATGGCTAAAGGATCTCAGGGACATAATGCTTATTCCAAGAAGATTCACACTACGTAAGTTTGAGTTATTTATTTTTGGACGGACTTGTTTGAGAACTTAATTAGATTATAATCTTTTGTGTTTCCGACTTTTGCAGTAGCAAAACCCATCCCTTACCATCAACAATGACCAAGAGTAGTAAGAGTTTTCACGAACCTGACGCTAAAACCTACACAAAACCTAAAATCAGCGTCTCTGCTGACCCGAAATCTCGTCCTAAACGTTCAGAACTGAAATCTGTTGAAAGACCGATTAAAGAGTATCGTAGTGAACAAACAATAGATCGGTCAGGTTCTCTCGGGAAACCAATGAAGGCTTTTGACTATGAACCCGTGAAGTCCAGGGACTTTGATAGGCACGATTGGTCCAATTGTCACGGTGATTATTTCCAACCAGTCACCAGGCAGAGTCCCTCTAGAGTGAGTTTCATGTCTGGAGGTAAGCAAACTCTGCAGCAACGAAGAAATTCTACTTCTTTCTCTACCATTACCATAGGAGGTGATGCTGACTATATCGGGGTGACTAGGTCTGGTCAAAGACATGGGGTGATTACAGCAAGTGCCCTGATGGATCTCAGGACGAGTATGAGATGAATTTTGGAGTTGTAATCTCGAATTTTCGTACGCCATAAGGTTTTTTATATGCATTTTGAAGTTTAAAGGTTTATTATGTTTATTTGACTAGAGTTTCAAAGGTGTAACAAACTCTTGGGGGCTGGGACTTACAAAAATGTTAGGATTCTTACACGAATGTCACAAAAATAACAAAAATTCTTAGACGAATGTCCCTAGATCCCAAAATACGGTTACACTGGTAAATATGATATTAAAGTAATCCCATTAAATGTTTGTTTTTGGTTTCGAATTCGAAATTGAGGCTTTTGTTGTTTCAATGTGTGAAAACTCGGTTTAATGGGAAAAATGCAAAGGTTTCAGATTAGTGTGAAATATTAAATTTTGAATTATGGAAAAATGGAATTCATTTCAGGATTGATTAATGGTTTTGTGTATAGTTTGAAATGAATCTGCCATTGTGTGTTTTATTTTCTGGTGTAATGATGTGAGTAAATGCTGAAAACAGATACCTCGAATGAACACTATGCCAACTTAATTTTTGAACCTGTTCTGAATTATTTTTTTTTGTTTTTTTATTTTTCACAAAATTAGTTTTTTTGTATTTTTTTCCAATTTTGTTTCTTAATTTTTTCCACAAAATTCGGGGCACATGATATTAGTAAATAAATATTCCTGTTTATAAAAATAATAGAAAATTACCAAAGAATAAAGTAACGTAAGTGGCGTAATGTTCATAGGGGGTATCGAAATATAACACAACGTTATAAGTATTTACAGGATATCATTTTTTAAGGATTTTATTTTAAAATTGTAAAATTTTAAAGCGTTTAGCGCTAGGGATGATTTTCTTAATATTAAAACTTAATAAATAATAAATAATAAATTTTAGTAGACGTAAAGGTTTTGTTTTAAAACTTTCGGCTGTACTTACAAACTTTAAGATTCTTAGAAAAATTCTATTGATTGTTTAAAAAATCACGTTTTTTATTTCCGGATTATCTTTTTAAAATTGAATATGTTTTTTAAAAGCCCGTCCTTGTTGACAATATTTTTAACATAGTAAATTTAAAGTACGACATCACTATAGGTAAATGACTAATTATTATAAATTATTATAAATAGGTATTATACACGTTTTTGCAAATTTTATTATTACTGTATAAAAATGGGTATGACAGAAAAATATAGTAAATAGATGAATACACTTTAAAACACAACGACGAGAATAATGGGCCAGTTAGTGCAGTACTGTAGTATTTTAAATAAGTAACATGTTCTACTTAGTAAACTGGCGTCATACACACAATTTTGAAGACGATAACTAATTAACTTGTCTGATTTTTACTAATTAATAAACTGTTCCACATAATCACTGCCATAAAGTTAGTAATCTTCTAAATACTTGTAAGTTATCACAATATAATAGATGGTTATTAGGCCCGTTTTGACATCTGTCTGTGAATGGGAATGAAACAAATCATTAACCAGATTATCCGATTGTCACCAGATATCGATTTAAAATTTTAAAGGTTTACAACCGTTGAGATTATTTTTATGTTCATTGGTTTTACGCTCCAGATACAACACTATTAAAAAAAATATATTGATCATATACTATTTTTGAGACGTTTCGTAGTAATCCAATATTGCATTATATTTTGGAATTGGCGCGAAAGTAATACTTGAAATGTATCCAGTCAATAAAAAACATGTTTTATTTTTAAAACATAAGAGGTCTATAATTATCGTTGATTTCATTCAAAGTTACATTCTTAGCTAGTCAAAACGGGTCTATTACAATATAACCACTATAATATATCTGAGTAGATAAATAAATTTAAAAAAAACCGAAAAAAAAATTTAAATTATGGAACGGAGACCGGAGATATTTCGAAAATCAATTTTTGGCACATTTATGATAATTGTTATCTTATGATTTTCCTATTTTCATACTTTTGCTACTTAAATGGCAATTAATAATTTGTATATAACATTTTTCATCATCATCGTATTATGCGCCGCACTGGTGCACATTACGATACAATTAATTACGTGCAATATGGTATTATCATTGGTGCAAAAGTTTAACAATTTTTCTAAATTTTATTTGCCACAACACATCAACCGCTCCATATACAGGGTGTAATCGTTAAGTGTGCCCAGGAAAATATTCCATAAATATAAGAAATATCAAAAAGCTTTACACGATATGGAAAGTACGTTACCTAATGAGTAAATCGACATCAATAACTTTTTTAAATAATAAATAAATACTAACGCTCCCGTACATTTAATATGACTTTCGTTGATAGGCTTTAGTTGACCTACTTTAAGAGGTAACAATAAGTTACAGATAACAAAACAGCTACAAATAAAGTAATAAAACTTTTAATTGCATAAAAATATGTGGCATAGTCAATTATTTGGTCAAGTGTGACTTGTCCATAAAAAAGATTAAAACTGACCAAATTTTTTAGTGCTAATCGACTCAGATTCATGTAAGGATAATTTCATAGTACTGGACGAAAAAAATGGGATAGCAGGTGTTGGTCAAATTTGATAAATAGTTTTGTTCGTACAAAATGAATAACATTTTATTAAATTTAATCAACTACTGCTGTCCCAATTTTTTTCGTTCAATACCACAAAATAATTTTTACAAGAAGCTGAGTCTATCAGCAATAAAAAAAACCTCAATTTTATTCATTTTGTATAAAAATAATTTAATTAAAAGATAGTTTTATTACTTTATTTGTAGCTTTTTAAAAATAAAACTAGAAATATCCAAAATTTCTTAAATCATTAAACGCTCTCATACAATTACTATGACATTCATAGTAGAGTGGTTTTAGTTTCTAACAATTGCTTTGAATACAAAATTTTGTACTTACATATTTTTACATCTTAAAGTAGGTCAACTAAACCCTCTCTACGAATGTCATATTAAATATATGGTAACGTTTAATATTTAATTGTTTGGACAATTCTAGTTTTATTTTTAAAATATTATTGATGTGGTTTTACTTATCAGGTAACGTACTTTCGTTATCAGCTTAAAGGTTTTTATTAGCTCTTATATTTACGAAATAATCGCCTGGGTACATTTGATGATTATACCGTGTATATAACTCATAGTTGCCATATTTTAGTCTTTACAATCGAAGAATTTAAGCATTGTACGTTTATTTTTGTGTACCATAACAGTTGAATGGCATCGGAAGTGTTAACAGTTTATACTGTTACTGTGCACTGAAAAGTTTATGTGGCGTAATTTTAATGTTTTGTTCTTTACAAGCACTTGAAAACATCTCATACGAGGTCTTTTATATAATAACCATGTACGTAGGTACATTTATGAAAATGATTTTTATTCACTTTATAAATCGTAAGTCGAGTGGGATCAAAATGAATTTTAGGGTTGATACACACCACGGGGAAATTTGTTTGGGTATTATAAAATGCTCGTTAAAAAGAGAGACAGGGCAAAACCTAGACGAAGTGTCATCGAGTTTATAACAAGAAATAGAGACGAAATGTCATTTAATTTGTTTGAAAATTATTCTGCCAAATCTTTACCGTGACAAAAGCGCTCTGATTGGCCAGCCCGAATTCGAAACAATAGACGGGTGTTGTCAATTTTTTCACTTTAATAAGACCAGTTTAACTTGAGCTGTGCTATTAAAGGACGATAATTAAAAATACATGTTTAATACTTAATTACCGATGAAATGTGATTCAATTTGTTTTGTAATTAGATGTTTTGCTGTTTGTCCCACACGAGCGAACAGCCCCCATTGTTAGAGATATTATCTTTATTACAATAAATACATAATATTTTTGGAATATACGGAGAACCCAGGTCAACTGTTGGCGCTGTACTATTTCAGTTTTTTAACTTGTGATTTCAGCGCACACGAGTGTTGATATTTTAAAGTGATTGTGTGAAAGTGATAGTGAGTGAGGCCCATTTGCCTGACGAGTTGCCAGGGATGGATGGCCCTTATTTTGTCTCTAGTTTTGGTTATATAGTGTATAATATGTCGTATCAAGTACTCAAAGTTACGGCGCTGAACAGAGATGTTTGGTGATGACTCCGCAGACAAGTGATTTAATTTCTTTTTAAGAGAGAATCTCTTAAGACACACCATGATTTTTAAAAAACATAAACTGTTGATGAATGAATGTTCTATGAACTAGCTAACTTAATCGAATTGTTTTAAAAAAATTCTAGGGCTGTGCACGTATGAATTTCCACTTATCCCAACCAGTGACGGGTGGGCGGACCGCTGGTATAGACTAGTGGAATACGCCAAAGGTAGGTGGGTAGGTAGGGTGGCATAGTTCAACACATTTGCATTAGCTTTAAATGTAAATTAATATCTTCTAAAGGCTAAAAAAAGTGAATAGGTGCCATATCAGAGTTCAACAGAACTTGTCGAACCTCTTAAGTTTTTTTGGGAACTTTGATAAAAATGTAATTTTTTCTACAGGCTAAAGTCAACTAAAAAAAAACCGACCTTAAAAGTGCGTGGAATTATATCTATTTGCAAAGTTTTATTGAAATTGGTTACCAGAAAGACCGGATTCATCCCCAAGTTTGCCACCCTTAGATTTTATGGGACACCGTCTGAGGTACCCTCTTTCCAGCAAATAATATCATCAAAATTGGTTTATAAATCGCCGGGAAAAAAAACTCGAATTGAGAACCTCCTTTTTTTCAAGTTGGTTAAAAATGTAATGATTACAGAGGCTAAAAAATGAATAGGTACAGTCAAGAGCACGTCAAGCTTGACACTTTGTACTTTGGACCGTTCTTATCGTAGACGGCCTAGAGTTTTAAATCTTTAGTGTCAAACTTGACGAGCTCCTTACCCTGTACTAAACAGTTACATATACTTTTAAATTATTTTGTCGGGTTGGAAGTTTCTTCCTGTCTGTGATGAAATTGTAATCGTACTAGTATAGAGTTCAAAAACGTGTGTATCAACAAAAAAAAACAATGAATTTACAGAACATATCAAATGAATTTGTGAATTTCGGTTAGACTTACACTTTTGTATGGTGAATTTTAATGTCGAATAAACGATTTTACTCAATTGTGTCTTTATTTTTTACTTTTGTGTATTGTAGTATACTATGTATATTAGGCTCAGTTCATATTACGGTGGAACGGAATGGAAGCGAGTTTTTGTAACGATAATGTACATAGCATAATGACCTTTATAGTCTATTGTGTACAAGTTCTCGTATCTAGTTTGTACGTTGCACAATTGACCCTAAAGTTCACAATGCTACGTTAATTATCGTTACAAAAATTCGCTTCTATTTCGTTCCGCCGCAATGTGAATTGAGCCTTACGTTACACTGATGGATTTTTTTTCAATAAACTTTGCAATTCAGTACAACAGCTTGGAACAATAGACAGGTTTTTACATACACAGTGTGCGAGAAAATTGCCAGTATTTAAGGCTTATATGTGTATAAGATCATTACATATACTCTTATTCGTAAGTATGTTATGAAACATACGATAAAATATTATGATTTCAGGAAAAAAAATCTCTGCCCCCCAGAACAAAGTACAAAAAAGTTTTTCTTTTTTAAAATAAAATACTGGCCACCAACTCTAAAACACTTACTTCGATCAATTCGTCAAAGATGTGTCATAGCTTTTCGATACACTTTACAATTTAACATAATTAAAATAAAAAAATTGTAAAATCATGAGGCAATTCTCTATCCTACTGGTGTTTGAGATCCTGGTGGTACTGAGTAGAATCAGCTACATTATGGGAAAAAGCGTGGTGCCTGTTCTCACCCTGGATCTAAAAAAGAGGACGCCTGGTAATAAGTCGCAGACGGAGAATTTGCAGGTAGGTACGTTTATACATAGGTATGTCTAAGTTGAGAATGCCTGCAATAAGACTAAATTTGAAGCTCCCGTAACGAGCTGGTTCAGTTGTGCTTATTCAAAAACGTGTTTCAAATTGTTTTTTCGTGCTTCTTTGTGACCACCTGCCAGTGTGAAGCACTTGTCAAAAGCACTAGATTCATCAGATAGATTATTTAAAACAGCTATGGCGTATCGGACGCGCAAATCCTATGAATCGTACATATGTATAGCAGTCCAATGTTGTTATGTGATTATTTTTACTAATGGAAAACCTGGTGTTTCATTCGCAACAAAATTTAGCACATTGTGTAATACGTTGTCTACAATTGCATAATAAGTCAGAAAGTTATAAATATTCGTTTCTGTTATTTCTCTAAAGGAAATAATAATATTAGTAGTATGTCGTTTGAAACATTTATGTACTTCGTTACATGATTTTAGTACCTACCATTCATAATGCTAATCGACAAGAGCAAGGACACGAGCGAGTACTGGCGAGAGACTGAGATCCTCTCCCTCGTGAGAGACAATGAACTGGATATAGACTATGACCGTTGTGAACAGACATTGCCCATGAACACTATCGTCAAGTTCCCTTCGCGACGCACCGTTAGACCTATTTGCAAGAGTCGAATTGGTATGCTCCTTACCCTATCTTAAAATCTTAATTAGGTAATATAGGGATTATAAAAGAATATTTTATAGATGTTTTTAAATAATACCTTTGTTGCAAATGTCATTAATTACTTGTACTTTCAAGGTTATGTAACGCAACGATAAGAAACAAAGTCGGCCCAATTCCTGAACCCTGTGGGAACCGTTGATAGTCATGAATCATAAAAATGATAAAAAATTGTCTTAGGTTCATAAAATAACCCAAATTGTGTTATTCCGAAAACAACAGCATGTAGCTAACATGTTAAAAAATATGTATCAACTTTGTAAAAAGCCTCATAAAGATTTTTGCACACAGAAATCCACAGATATCATGTAATATGTGACTGTGACGACTTTCAACAGCAGATTTACAAAATTAAAAATAGAACTTACATACATAAACACGCTTGTCTTTGCTTTAAGAAGAGGAAATGTACCACTAAGCAAAGAAGAAAGAAAAGATGTTTATTGCCGTAGAAGATTTACATAATCAAGGAATACAAAATATAGATAACAATTGTACTTTATTGTTAATTTGTTATTTGTTGTCGTCTGCTCGTTTGCCTCCTGCTTTACATAAAAAAAGAAAAAATCAATCTATTAAGGTTTTCGTGTCTTCGGTATTCTGTAATTTTATAACAGAAACCTACTACGGAACTACGGTAGAAACTTGTAGAGGGGTATTTAAAAACGACAACCTTATGAAGTCTGCAGGTAACCGTTTGATGAAGGCGGCACAGTATCTTACGTGGCGGTACTTGAGCTCATTCGCAATCTGTATAAAATTTTGCACAACCTCATAAGTCTAGGTTAAATCGTGATCTGAACAAATCAAAGAGAATAAAAAAATGTTTTTGGCTGTTTTTGGTATACAGAGAGTTAACGCTGCTGCAATAGAACCACTTCCTAAGGGGTGAGGCTTTAGGAGTGAGACACGCGCAGTGGACACCTCCTCGCACGCCAGTACTCCGGAACCGGACGGACCACTGCGCACTTACTTGTTTTTAACATTTTTATATTGTTTCATAATTACGTCATTACAAAGTACAGTATGCTGTTCGTCAATAACAGCTCGAACACAGACTATCTTTGCATTATAGATCCGTGGCCTAGTTTCAGTTCCAATGTCTAACAATCGCGAAAACTAAGAACTCACATCTTAATATTATTTATTTTCAGATTACCAGCTCTGTCCTCAGTGTGCTCATTTCAGTAATTTCACTGAGTGCGAGCTCTTCAGGGATTCTTGCAGGTTATCCTTTCATTCCTGTTTTCTTAGTTAGGAAGGACGAAAACAAGTGAAGTTCGTAAATCCGCAACTCCCAGCTTAGAAAACTAAATCCTAGTTCACTTCTGTTAGAAAAGACTCATCACCCATACCCATAGCATGGCCTACCTGGTAGGAGGAAGTATAGGTACATAAATTACATCACAGACAAAGGTCGCCTGTTGCGTTCTCATTTCTCTGTTTTGCAATTGTGTCCTGTGGTTGCAATTTAGTCATGTTATATAGGGAAAGAGCGACTATTTATTTTTTTTCATCCTCTAAGGAAAAGAGTGACATCATCTGACATCCATCAAGAAAATTATTAATTAGTCATCTGACATCGTAAGTCCAAATTAGATGCTCCGTGTTGTGGACTTAAAAAATAATCAATACTAGCTCCGCGACTCGAGTATTTCTGTATTGAATTGAAATAAAAATAAGATAAGGCCATATCTGCAAAATGATTACTTTTCCGGTGAGAGGCTTAAAGGTTCTACGAATGAAAATTTTTGTGCTTTATATAGGAGAGTAAATAAATGTCAAAAAAACACATAATTCATTTCGTGTGGTTCGTATTATTTTTGTGACTCATGTGTTAAAAGCACTTTTGACGGAAGACTACCTACCTAGCTTTGCCAAGAATACTTAATTAAATTTTGTAAGCAGCCCGGATTTATTGTCAGTTAGTATGTTTCAAAGTAATAGATGTAACCCAAATAAATTGTTAATAAAAAACGTTTGATACTTAACACAATTTCATCACAATAGTAATTTACGATATTTCATGAAAATATTCATTATCAGAACACGCGCTAGACGGCGCACGCGCTGCATGGGTTTTATCTATATTACGATATGGTAGTGACTCAGAAACAATGTGGGACACAATATGTACAGCTAAGTGCATATCAGGCATAACGTGGCCTTGAGTAAGACTTATTTTGTTGCAATATATCTCATAACGTGAAATTCAATTTTACATAGGGGAAATACGTATAAAATGACATAGGGTTTTATTTTTTAGTCATAATTCTTTAATGGTAATACATAGCACAGTCATATTCTACACTCCCAATAGTCTTTGGAATAAAACAACAGAAAAAATAAATAATTCGTAGTTTAATTGTGTTCAAGTAACCCTTTCATGGACAGTAATTTTTCCTTTTACGGTAAACGTAAAAGGAAAAATTCGAATATGGACAGTACGGGCTATCCCGTTTCGATATATGGATCTTATAAAAACTACTACGAGCTTTACCGTGCGTATTCCAAGTGCTTTCTTTGTAGTTGCTGCCTACTGCTTCTCCATAGAGAAGTATCAACAATGTACTGACAACATTGAATGAATTATTTGAGATACATTTGTGGATGTTACACGCACATATTTAATATGTGCACACCAAGACAGTACGGTGAATACTGACGTGTTTTTATGAGGTGATGTAAAACCGTACATGTCAGTGCGTCGCCAGCGACTGCCTTTTGTGATTATGTAGTTGGTTTTCGCGCTGGAACTTTCTGACTCTAAAAAATCCCTCAATCTAACCTTCATCACTGCTTAAATATAATCTAATTAGTAATTGTTTCCTTTGAAATTGTTAGTACATAATAACTTTTATTTGTCTTCTTATTCTACAATGGTTACGCTATTTTATGGTGTACGCTATTTTATAGTATAGATTTAGATATTTTTTGCTGAAATAAATTAAATAAAATCACTACTACTGTCATAGCCGTACTTACTTAAGCACAAGAAACATTTGCAAGAACAGTTTGCAGTGCTGCTATGAATGTTGACGGGATCAGCCGTCAGTGATAAAGCGTAATAATTATGTTGAATTAATATGGTAACTACGGCATAAAGAAAAGTAGTGAATTTTGGTGTGCGGTATTATTTCAGTACTGTCCATGAAGGGGTTACACCATTTTGTTCATATACAATGAACAAAATGACAAACACGTGTAAACTATTCAATTATTGACAAAAAACGCTTTGTTCTTCTAGGAACATCAGGACAAGAAGCGTGAGCCCAATGCGAACAATTTCAATCGTAACCAGTCTTTTCCGGGCTTATATCGAGAAACAAGATCGTTGCAATACGTTACCAATCACCCTGTATATTGCATATATGCAAGGACATTCCTCTTCGTTAACTTGAGGATTACACGGAAAATTTTCTTCTTCGCTGTCATCTTCAAACTATTTTGTAGTGATGTTTAGTCTCTTCTTTGCTGGGGAGCTTTGGGCTCATTTTTCGATTCAATTTCCCATGAATTTCCCTTATGTTACTTTTTACTTGGTGCAACAAGTTTCGTTGGCCATTCAGCGCGGTAATGCTGCCAGTGTTATGGGGACGTTTGAACCAGCTAAGATTCAGAGCGGTCCTTTTTCATTGTAATAGTTGGATAAAAATGGCGAATTGCATTATTAATTTTTATGTGAGGAAGCTGATTTATATTCGTGTCTTTCTGGCGAAGCCGACGTTGTGGATTGACATAATTATGTATTTGAAATTATAACACGAAAAAAAGGAAAAAGAAATTTAAAAAAAAAACGATTAGATGACGCACACACAAAAATATACAAACAAGCGAATATATACCTTTATATAACTATAACAATAAAAATAATCAAGTGATAAGCTTTAAGTGTGCCAGTTGTGCTGTTACGGAATCCGACAACGACATCCCCCCGGCTTGGTGTCGTCTCATTGCAAAGTACGACGCTGATTTATGACACCAAGCGTACGTATCATTTCAGAGAAAAAAGAGTAACGCCAGACGAACAGCGCATTTACTGTGACCGTAAATATGGTAAATGGCGCACCATGTTCATCCCCGCTGACTACTCGCAGTGCCGATGTTGTGACGAGTGTGTTTTCTATAGAGGTAACCACTTCCTTGCTATTGTAGTAAACCTTTGGTAGATTTGAAATTAGATACTTGTGAGGAAACCTTAATTCACCACACTCGAAAACGTGTCACCAGGTCCCCAATCCGCATTGGCCCAGGGTGGGACTATTGTCGGGGATAGTGCAATTACGCATTACTAACTACTAACTAGCATTTGATTATGACTTTCCATTTTGGTAATTTTCTGGCCAAATCAAACCCGCGTACATGTCGTGGCAACCAAATTAAATTGATTTAAGGGAATTTATTGTTCTCGTTTGCGCTGAAATCACAAATTAGAAAACTGAAATAGAGCGCCAACAACTGACCTATGGTGGTAGTTTAAAAGATACTCAGCTTAAAGCAGATATAAAAGCGTTGAATGATAGAAAATCTATCTATTTACATGTTGTCTTACTAAAAACGTTTTATTGTTTGATCTTTCATTATTATATTTGAATATTTTTAAAACCTTAATAAAGAATCGTCTTGGCCACAGGGGTGTCCAAGATGATCCTAAGGGTATGGGCAAGATGATCCAGCGGATCACCTAGCCTCTATTTAGGAAAATTTTTGGTAGAAACAAATGAAAACAACAACTTTTTAGACTTAACAAAGTCCTCACTTATGTAATCTAGGTATATGAAACAACAGTTACGGAACTTCAAGAACAAATAATCCTAATTAATTTATATCTCACAGGCACCTAAGGGCGGGCGATATTGTTTTTTATGACAAGTTGATATCCATCCTCGTCTCCATATATTTAATGTACTTTACGAGCTCGATTTCCTATTTAGCCCATCTGATGATATCAATTTTTTTTCACCTAAATATTTCAATGAACTGACAGACTCTTTATTTTCACCTTTGCCCGTCTTTTTAATGACATAACGCGTACCTACTACTGCTAACTATTTACTTGCCGATCTATGTATGTGGCGTCCTACTTTTTACGCATCTAATTCTTTAGATCATAGTCTTCCGACCACCCACCACGAATGATTTTTCTTTTAAAAACTACGCGGCCTGGTCTAAAACAAGAAAAATAAAAATTCGGAACAATTGACGACACCCGTCAATTGTTTCGAATTCGGGCGGGCCTATCGGAGCGTAGTTGTCAGAGTAATGATTTGGCTGAATAGTTTTCAAACAAATTAAATGACATTTCGTCTCTATTTCTATACTCGATAATGTTGAGGGCAGTATATGACGAGTGTGATTTGACACATTAGAATTCGTTTGACTTTCAGAACTGGACCAGTCTTGTGTTCAGGACGACTACAGTTTTGACGCTGAGGAGTTCCTACCTGTTACTTCGATTGGTAAATTAGAATAACATATTTTAGACTCTTTGGTATATTTATAAGTTAATTATCACGTGTGTTGGCACAGCATCTACTGCCAACGCAAATTATGGGCACTTACTATATACTTTATTGCATTAGTTATGAGCATTACTCGTGCAAAATACAATATTGTTTATAGTTTGTTCAATATTGACGATAGCTTTTTAGAACAATGGTTTAAAAACAACATTAAAAATATTTAACGACCAAAGCCATTGACTTACAAATAAATGGTAGACGGGTCTAATACAAAAACTACGAAAAAAATGTCCTAAGTCAACCTATTTAAACGTAGTGACATGTAAAGGAATATGAAAAAGCTAAAACGTTGAATTGTAATGTCATCGCAGTACTGTCTAATTTTGCTTGCTTCGCTGTCAGTCGAACAAACGAAGACTAAAGCGTGAATGACGCTCTGTATACGATTTTAACGCCCTGTAAGTTCGGACACTTTTTAGCGCGGACCCGACGTCCATATAATTTAAGTCAATGACCAAAGCCGACGAATATTTTCAAATAAATTATTTTAACCAATAAAAAGCTCGCTATACACAAAATTTAACACATTTCAAATGTCAGTTGTGTTCTAAAGATTAACTGCTTTTGTTTTGAGATATTGCTGTTGAAAAGCAGCGATATGTATGTATGATTAAATCCAGCTCAAGTAGGTACAAGATTGATTTGAATATCTTCTTTCAATGGAAATGAAACTAATTTTTCGGATATAAACAGCTTATGTGTTTTTGCAAACAAATACACGTTTCGGGCACTTTACAGCTTCCATATAGTCACGGCTGATTTAGATGGTAAATGAAAGTAAGGTGTTTGAATTAATAACTTTCCTAAGTTATAGGTCGAAATGGGACAGTTTATATTAATGTTACATATAAGTATGGTTGATGACTTTATCATCTAAGTGACCAGTGTTGCCAGGGCCCTTGAGTCGAAAATGACATTTCATTACCTGAAAAGTTAAATTTTTGCTGCAAAAGTTATATTTTATAATTTCGTTTTTTTTAATTAAAAATTGTAACTGTAAAAGATATAAGTATATACGCCTCCATCTTAAAAACAAAAAGTATGTACGCTCAAGAAAAATCAAGCTATAGATTACATAAATTTCGTTTTATATGATGGTCATACAGACAATGAGTTTTGCATAACTGGTGATAGGTTTCATTGGTTTTACCCTTGTGTTATCGTTAGATTTCAGAGCTGGCTGTAATCCTTACTGGGGACATCCCGAGCAAGAATTCCGTGCTCTCCGATGTGATAAGGTTTTAAGAAGATGTTAGTTCCTTACTTTTAAATAATTTATGGGGTTATACAATTTTCGCGCAACCTATACATATAAAATTACCTATTTCTGCCGCCAAGCAGTAATGTGAGCATTACTGCGTTCCGATTTGGGAGGGTTAGGGTACTGGTGAAATTACAGGCACATGGACTTGTCAACTTGTCTTTTGGTGACGAGCGCAATGGCAGTACCCTTAAGATCTTTGCGATGTAAACCTCTGAGTGGTACTGCAACTGTGACAGTACAAACAAGTCGTACACCTATATAAAAAAGTGAAGGCATAAAATATCAGTTATGCGGACGATATGGTCCTACTGGCACCCTCGGTCAGTGCGTTAAGAGCGCTTCTCGGAGTCTGTGAAAGTTTCGCTGCCTCACATGGCTTATTGTACAATACCGATAAGTCACAGTTCATGGTCTTTAAGGCTGGTAATAAATGTCCTAACATTGTACCCCCTACAAGTCTCTATAACGAACCTTTAGAAAGAGTTTATAAATTTAAATACCTTGGACATATTGTTACTGACAGCCTTAGGGACGATGAAGACATTGATAGGGAACGTAGGGCACTGTCGGTTAGGGCGAATATGTTGGCACATAGGTTTAGTAGCTGCACGGATACAGTTAAAATTACACTTTTTAAAGCAACTGTACATCATTCTACGCGTGCAGCTTATGGACCAACTATACCAAAAAGGCCTACAGTGCCCTGCGTGTCCAATATAATAACGCCTTCAGGGCGCTGTTGCGGCTGCCGCGCTTTTGTAGCGCTTCTGCGATGTTTGCGTGGGCGGGCGTAGACAGCTTTGAAGCTATCATGCGCAAAAAAAGCGCATCAATATTATACAGAGTGCGTGGCAGCAGCCACAGCGTGCTGAGGGAGATGGCTGACAGTGGGGACTGTCCACTGATCGGCCACTTGCTGAGAAGGACGAGGTCACTTTTAGAAATAAAATACTAACATACTCACTAAGTTTGTACTAACAATTTATGGATCACGGTTGTCTGAAATAAATACTTTTTTTATTTTTTTTATTTTATTTTATTTTTTTTTTATTAAAAATTAAAAATAGGTAATTTAAAAAAGGTATTAATCGTGGCTCTGTCGCCTTGCGCCGATAAGCTCGAGTTCGCCGTGGTGTGTTATCCGAGATGTCACGAGCTAACAGCTCATTCTCAATTGCGAAGCCGCCTCCGAAAACACGGCTTCTGCGCATACTGCTCTCTTTGTTATTTAAAAAAAAAATCTATATTGTTCTTTTTCTATTTTAGGCGTTCCTGTTACTATTCCTCCTTTACCAAATGAAACTCTACATGTGTAAGTGTGTTGTACTTGTAAAAGTTATGTATCCATCCTAAATTCGAAAAAAAAGAGGAGTTTCTTGTTTATTTTCATTCTATATTTTTAATAATGATGATTAGTAGAACAAAACTTAACTTCATATAGACTGAAACTTCTTTTCGAAGGCGTCGCAGTTTCCGCTACGAGCCTACAACAGGTGGCAGAGAATGTCCCGTATCCTGTCGGGGTTACGAATGCTTCGGAGGGCTAGTGAATGAGAGACAGTGCTCTCTTGGAGCCTTCTTGCCGGATAAGGAACAATGCAATTGCTGTGGACGGTGTAGTTCTTATCAGCGTTAGTATTTCAGACTTCCCACTCATATGAAATATTACATTTGTGCGAAAAATGATTACGTCTGGGTATTTTAAGGGTAGATGTCAATAATTAGATATGGATATAGGGAATATGTAATTAAATAAATAACGCACACACTCAACATAGCCCCGCACTAGGAAAACCCTGTGTCGCGGGTGCCTTGGACACATACATAGACAACCACAAATTACACGCAAGCTCACGAGAGAAATAATTGTAGGCCATACAACTATTTCTTCTGGCCCGGGAATCGAACCTGGGACCTCTGCGTGACAGTCCGGCATGGTAACCGTTCGGCTACGGAGGCAGAGTCCATAATCTTATTAGTTACCCAAGTATGGAGTCCCACCAGGATCTGCCAATATGAAAAACAAAGAATAAAAACATAATCTTCAAACTAAAGGCGAATGCTGTCTAATGCAATGAAGCATGATCGGGCAGTCAACTCAACCACTCACAACGCGAATAATGTCATTTGAGATGTCACGGATACGACTTAGCAGCGAGGCAACTCTTTTTCTAAGAATAGCATGAAAGCCATCCTGCTGCAGTACCGTGGCAACCCCGGCAACACCCTAAACGCGTTGTTGCTGATTGCGCAGGGCGTTAATTTTCTTAAATTATTTCTGTCTAGAAGGTTTGGCAGAATGGTTTAAAAGTATCACTTTACCAGGTGCTGTACATCATGCAAATTTGCGAGCTAACATATTGCTTCTAACAGCCAACACTCGGCTCTCTATATTTGTACACATTATTTACAATATTTATTTCAAGATTGACAGCACAAATTATTAGAACGAATGTGGATGCAAGCGTGAGAAGTGGTAGACCTCGGCGAACATACCTCAATCAGATTGGGGACGTCTTTAAAAATGACCGTGTTAAAAGACTAAGGATAACCGGGCATGTATGAAGAGATTGATGGAGGAGGCTAAGGAGGTTTGTCAGGAGAGTAGGAATTGGAGGAAATATGTATGTATGTATTTATTATAAAGAGACAACTTGCACGAGCTAAACGAATCACTACTTTGTCATCCAAGTGCGCAGAAC